TCTAGGATAAATTGTATACATTAAATCAATGATATATGGGTCTGTGTCCCCAGTAACTAGAATACATGGATTCTGAACACTATATAAGCTTCCAAGCACCACAAAACCTGGATCCAAAATTGTCTATTAATATGGGTATTATAAGTAGCTAGGTCAAATGAAATCTTGCCACTTGCAACAACGTGGATGGAGCTAGAGTATACTGCTAAATGAAATAAGTCAGAGAAAGACAAATATCATGTGATTTCACTCATACGTGGAATTTAAGAAACAAAACAAATGAACAAAGAAAAAAGAGACAAACCAAAAATAGACTCTTAACTATAGAAAACAAACTGATGGTTACCAGAGGGGAGGTGGGTGTGGGGATGGGTGAAATAGGTGATGGGGATAAAGAGTACAGTTATCATGATGAGCACTGAGTAATGTATAGAATTGTTGAATCACTATATTATACACGTGAAACTAATATAACACTATATGTTAACTATATATGAATTAAGTAAGTAAATAAATAAATAATTTCTTAAAGGTCGCTAGATCATACCCTCCTCCCAATCCTCAGCTCCTCAAACTACATCCCACTTTTCTCTAGGTCGGCTAAGCTGTAGGCAGCTGCTAACCACTTCTCCCACTCCCCCACACCCACACACACGAGTAATTCTGAGAACACTTTTCCAGCCAATCTTCCCCATCCCATTGCCCATTCCTGCAACTCTGTTCCCCAAGTTCCAGGTCTGATTTTTCTTGGCAAACTTTTCTTCCTCCCTCACTTCCTCTACTGTCTTCCTTCCTGCCTGCCCTCTTCCCTTCAGATTCTGCCAAGAGGCATACAATTAAGAAAAAACTAAGTAATCCAGGGAATCAGGACAAAAGGAAAATAAAAGATTAGCACAAAGAAAGTTGACCATATGGAACTGGTAGGTAAGTGTTACAAGTTGAATTGTGTACCCCTCCCTGCAAAAAAAGGTGTTGACATCCTAACCCCAGGTACCTGTGAATGTGGCCTTATTTGGAAATAGGATGTTTGCAAAGGTAATCAAATTAAGAGAAGGTCATTAGGGTGGGGTTTAATCCAATATGACTGGTGCCTTTATATATTTATTTTTTTTAAGATTTTATTTATTTATTTGAGAGAGAGAGTGCACTCGCGCCTACAAGGGGGGAGAGAGCAGGGGTGGGGGGAGGGGCAGAGGGAGAGGGAGAAGCAGACTCTCCGCTGAGCAGGGAGCCCGACATGGGCTTGACCCCAGGACCCTAGGATCATGACCTGAACCAAAGGCAGACACTTAACCAACTGAGCCACCCAGCCGCCCCTATTTTTTATTTTATTTTTTTAAGATTTTAAGTAATCTCTACACCCAATGTGGGGCTCGAACCCACAACCCTGAGATCAAGAGTCACATGCTCCACCAACTGAGCCAGCCAGTCTCCCCCAACATGACTGGTGTCTTTACAAGAAGAGGGAAACTTAGACACAGATACACAAGGAGAAGGGCATGTGACAACAAAGGTAGAGACTGGAGTGATACAGCTGGAAACCAAGGATGGCTGGCCACCACCAGAAGCTAGGAATAGGCAAAGAAGGATTTTCCCTACAGGTTTTAGACAGACTATGGCCCTGCTGACACCTTGAGTTTGGACTTACAACCTTCAGAACTGTGAGAGAATAAATTCCTATTGTTTAAGCCACTTAATTTGTGGTAATTTGTTACAGGAGCACTAGAAAACTAATATAGAGTAGGCATCCCATATATTTGACTCTTAGTCTCTTCCTAGCAGCTGAAGCAGGAAACTGTTACATGATCCACAGGGCCCACAGGATTAAAAGATCCTTATTTGTTCAGGGGATACAGAGCTTTTCAGGACGCTGAGAGTTCAGAGAATGGTCTCCACTGGGTCCTACAGAAAAAAACTTCGGGAATCAATTCACGACTATAGTTGATGACATCATGACACTTGCCCCAATAATAAATTTTATGCAGCTATTTCCTACAAGGTGCACATCCAGGAATCAGAAATGAAGAAGAGACATTATTACCAACTTCACAGAAATAAAAAGGACTATAAAGGAATACTAGGTACAACTGTATACCAACACATTAGATAACTTGGATGAAATGGACAAATTCCTAGAAAGATACAAACTACCAAAACTGACTCAAGAAGAAAGAGATGATCTGAGTAGACCTAAATAATGAAAAGATTGAATTAGTAACCAAAAAACTATTCATAAAGCCCAGGCCCAGATGGCTTCACTGTGGAATTCTACCACTTATTTTTTTTTTAAGATTTTTTTAAATTTAGTTTATTTGAGAGAGACAGAGAGAGCAAGCGAGCACAAGGCGGGGAGGGGCAGAGGGAGAAGCAGACTCCCCACTGAGTAGGGAGTCCAATACGGGGCTCGATCCCAGGACCCTGAAATCATGACCTGAGCCGAAGGCAGACGCTTAACCGACTGAGCCACCCAGGCGCCCCTCTATCAAACATTTAAAAAAGAATACCAATTCTTCACAAACTCTTCCCGAAAAGAGAAGAGGAAGGAATACTTTTCAACTCATTTTATAAGGCCAGTATTACTCTGACACCAAAACCAGACAAAAACGTCACAAGGAAACTACAGACCAAATGCACATATAGAACGTACCAAAAGAGTATGTTCCAAGTACACAGCTCTATAATTTTATGTCTTTGAGGTAATCTCCATAAACAGTCTTCTCATGATGGGTTTTTGGTAAGGTCAGACAGCAGATTTCAAGGCTATAATCTTTGGGAAGCATCTGGGGGGTAAATGTTCTGTGTTACCAATGAAATGCAGGTCTTTATGCTTTGCCAACTTTTAGAGCAGGGGATAGAAATGAGGTCTTCCGATGAAAACGAAATGTTATTTATTTATTGTTAAATGGTTGACGAAAGTTAGGGGAACTGCCACTACCAAAGAAAGAACTAAAGAGCATTTTTCATGCTGAAACTTGAACAAAGAATGTGGGACAAAGAAGAGTTATTAGATATTTGAGATATATTTTATAATTTATTTAAAATTTAATTTAAGGGGCGCCTGGGAGGCTCAGTCCTTAAGCATCTGCCTTCGGCTCAGGTCATGATCTCAGGGTCCTGGGATCGAGCCCCGCGTCAGGCTCCCTGCTCAGCGGGAAGCCTGCTTCTCCCTCTCCCCCTGCTTGTGTTCCCTCTCTCGCTGTGTCTCTCTGTGTCAAATAAATAAATAAAATCTTAAAAATAAATAAATTTAAAAAATAAAATAAAATTTAATTTAAAACTACAAGAAAGAGATTTTAGCTTATAAGGAAGTTTAAGCATTGACTCAAACACAGAAAAGACAGGCTCCATTTCTCTAGACTTCAAAAATAAATCCAAAACACATCTTGCTAGGATAACAAACACGTAATTCCAGGAGTCCAAATCCTACACTTTTTCAAGTCTTGCTCAAATGTTGCCAGTTTAAAAAAAAAAAATGTAGCTGTTTTCAAATTAGTGTGGCGCTTGAAAGTTTCCTTTTACATCATTTTCCATTTTCTTCTTTGAGTTGCATTTATCTTACTATCTTACTGAACTATCTCTAGAATCTCCAGACTCCTACTCAGGTTTAGAATAGTGCTTTGCTCATAACCAGCACTTACTAAAAACTAATGAAAATACCATGTATCTCATTACATGGTCAGTCTAAAGCCAAATGGATTTTTAAAGTATTCAAAGTAATAAAGCCTCCTGTTAAAAGAACTGTCAGATACAATAATCTTTAAAAATCTGTTTTTGAATTAAGCAACAAATAAGAGATGACTTAACCAGATTCATTTATACTAGTTACTATTCTTTTAATTGACGTCCACAGCAGTAAGTGTCCTTCTGAGAAGAAAAATGTCAACCTAATAGTTTACTTTCACTTTGCAAAATAATCCCTTTTAAGATACCCAACCAGTTTCTTCCGAAACCATTCTTGGAATGGTAGGGAGAAACTCCATTAATGGACTTTGACACTTAGACATTTTTCTAATTTATAGAAAAAATGAGGTTGAAAAAAAATTACTTGAACCGAAGCATGTAAAGTGGATTATAATACTGTAATCACTAATTCCCTGTCCTCCTTTTAAAAGGATTATATAATCTCTGCCCATTGTTATACGACTTGCAAGGTTTCTTTTTTTTTCTTTTTTTTTTTTGAGAGTACACTTTCTGGCCCCATTGACAGCAAGCTTTGCCATATGACTTGCTTTGGCCAATAAAATGTGAACAGAATTGGGGTGCTCAGATGTGAGCTGTTTTGTTTTAGGAGCAGCATGCGCAGGTGGTGTATAAGAGCTGATTGTAACATTTCCAGAAATTTGGCAAGTCACTTGTTAAACTTGTTAAAAGTAGCTTGAAATCAGCCACGGTGGGAGTATTTACATCATGGAAATAACAAACACTACAAATCAGGACTCTTCTTCCCTAAAGTTGGTTCCAGCACACGGTGAAGTGAGTGTATCCCCCGCAAAAAGTTGATCTTTCAACCTGGAGCCTGGAGTAAAGGAAACTAGTGGAATAGATGTAGCAGATGTAATTTGCTTGAGAAATGAATCTTTCTTATTGTAAATCACCGAGTTGTAGGCGTTGTTACCACAACATAATCCATCGAAAGCTGATACACTAGCGTTATAAGTTCTAGAACACCAATGAGCCCTGTCCAGACCTTGGTTCGGCGGGTTTCTTTTAACAACTTGAACCATCAGATACCTTGAACCTGAAAGGATGCAAACTGCACTCAGACTCAAGACAGGAATCCAGGTCTTGGAAGGTTAATGTATAAGTATAAAATAAAAATTACATTTTTAAAAAGCACTAAACAACTGCATCATTTTTAAACCTTGGCAAACGAGGTCTGTCACTCGTGGACCTGGATGGCTAAGGAGTGACTCTCCAGCCCTTTCCCCTATAGGTCACATGTTACCCTCCCCCTTTCACCCCCAGATGCGTGAATTGAGCGCTGTGTCTTTAAGGGATACGCGCGGAGGTTTCTGCACAGAACAAAATGTCTGCGAGGATCCTGGAGGGGACCCGCGATCCCAGACTTCTAGCCCGCCTCTTGCTCCTGCCGCGCTTTGGGGGTGATGGGGTGAGTGTGCGCCGCCACGTAGGCGGCCGCGCTCCCGGAGGCCTGGGCGGGTCGCGGCCCACCAGGGGCTGGGGGAGAAGTGGGGCGGCGAAGGGAATGGGGACCAGTCCCGGGCCTCGGGGGCCGCAGGTGAGCCAGCAACCCGCAAACGCCACTGTGCGCTATTATCACAGGCTGGCTTGCGCACGGGCTGCCGGACGTGCCCTTCCTTCTCTGGGCTCGGGTTGTCCCTAGTATAAAAGACGCATGTGGCCCCGGATTCTGCCTAAAGGCACTGCTCAGCTTCTTTCAGCACCTCGTTTTTGCTCCCAGGCTCCTTTCAAAAAAGTTATTTGAGAATATCGAAAATCATCTGCTTTCCTAAGTAAAATTGCCTTTTTGCAGTCAGACTTTTAACAGTGGCAAATGGTTGCATGCCCTGTAGTGTGCTCTTTCTCTGAGACTTTCTTGATGTTTCTCATTTTGGAGAGGAGAAGCCAAATACGAGCCAAATGCTCAAACAGGAATCCCTGCCCCCATCTCCATGGTGCTCAAACAAAAGAATTTTCCGATCCTCTCTGAGTATAGAGAAGCAGTTTGCTGTAACTACTGACAGTAGCCAAATGCCCGAAGCTTACCAAACAAAATTATTTTTCCTTTCTTGAAAGAAAAAAATAACTACTATCCAAACTTCAAATTAGCCCAGACTACATGAATATGGTGTTAAACAGAAGCTATTGTAAAAAAAGCTTAATAAATTGACATAATTAGGGTAATTATTTTATGCACTTTGCGTTCATGTTATTATTTGTACACTCTTTTTGGCCAAAAATAGCTTGAGGCAAAGGACAATAAAAAGTATGCAACAATGTGTAAAATGGCCAAGAGCCAAAACAAGGTCATTCTCAATTAAAAATTCTTTGTATTACAAAGGACTTCAAAGTAGGGCAGCTTTAAATTCCTGTAATTCATATTAAAGTATGCGTTTTACAAGACAAAAGGAATCAACACCCTTCTTTTGAGGAACATGTATTAAAGTCATGTAGACCTAAAATAAAGGTCCAGTTTAGGGTAGAAGCTTTTCATTTTTAAAAATGCATTAAGAATACATCTGGCCTTTTAGCTAATGGTAGAGGTATCTAAGAGTTTGGCTTAACACATTCAGAAAACATCTCTGACTCATCATACAATTAGGTGTGGGTCCAGTACATTTTTTACAGTCCATGTGTAACATTTATCTAAGTATTTTCACACTTACCCATGTATTGCCTGAGCTAAGTATCCACACTTCACAGTTTGGAGGCATTTTTTTGCTTTTTCACTTCATCTAAGTCTTCAGCCTTGTGATTCCAGACTAATTTTTCTGATTGGCTGGATATGTTTATAAATAGATGAATCCATGGTAGTAAACTAATATTTCAAAGAGATGGACAAGTAACAGGTGAATGAATTGTGGTTTCCTTGATATTTCAATTGTCAAGGCTAATTATTTATTATGTTCTGCTTTGATTAAGTTACTGGTGGGTGAAGTAAATGAGACTTTCTTAATGTTTCTCATTTTGGAGAGGAGAAGCCAAATAGGAGCCAAATGCTCAAACAGGAATCCCTGCCCCCATCTCCATGGTGCTTTAGTGTTTCCACCCAAGTCTGTGTGGATTTCACATTAGTGTGAATTTCTTACCTAAGACCCAGGCTCAAAGTCAGGTATTTGTTTACAACTCTGCCAGATTAATCCATCTGAAGTGATTAGCCTTGGCTGTGGAAGGACAAACAGAGCTATAGTTCATTTGCTATTCCCTTTTGAGAACATTGCCTCGTTCTTTGGCCTTTAGCCTGCCTAATATTTTGTATGTGTTCAAGCATAAGTATAAAATAATAAAATTAACTTCCGTGGGTATTTTATAGGATGATTCTTAATGTTACAGTCATATATTATATGTATGTACACCCATATTTACACAAATTATTCATCTGGGTTTTGATCTCCCTTATTCTCTATATTAGTATTCAGGGAGAGGATACTGAAGAGTCTGGGTTTTAATCTGATAGATTATTAGAAGACTATAACTTTGGAGAACTGCAAATAAAACTTCAAATGCAGTTTGAAATAATTAATGTGAATTTATTATCTTCCACAGGCTTAAACTTATCATTCCTTCCAGATAATGGATACTCAAATGAAATTCACTATGGGAGAGTTTAGAGGTGTGGTACCAACAATACTACTCTCCCCCTTCCATGAAATAACTAAAATCTACTTTTCTCTCAGCTTTTTCCCCTTCCCCGAAATTGGACTAAAACATTTCCACTATTAAATTAATTTCATGCTAGCTACTTTCATTTAGCATCAGGAAATATTTTTTTAAAATATGAGCTTGGAAGCCTAGTTATAAGACTAAAGAATTGGAACTTTATGAGAGTCAGCACTAGTGGCAATGTGTTTTTTGTGAATTTGGGGCCCTGAAGGAGGTCAGGAAGGGAAGAGATGCTGAAGCAGGAGTGTCTGCTTGAGCATTTGTGTTAGGGCCCCCACGACCCACCCTTTCCTCAGTATGGACATCGCGTGATGGAATTTACCCTCATGAGTGAACAGTGCTCTGACCTTTAGCATATGTATCAGAATTATTGCTGGAAGCGTCTCTCCCCACCAGACGGTGAGCTTCTGGAGGGGATGGAATATGTGGTTCTCTTGTTGGCATCCTGGGCAGGCAGCAAGCCCTTGTCTGACCTCAGATGAGCAGGTGCACAATGAGCAATTTGAATGAGAGTGGATGGAGTGAATGGATTGTAAGCAAAATAATCACATTCACTGGCACCTTTCTGGTAATTTAAAAACTGTTTAAGAAAAAATTAAGGGAGCTCTTATTTTTCATTTTCTTCATGTTAGCTAACCATGTAGTTAATAGGTGTGCATTTTTCTTGGTTACTTGGTAAGGAAGTAATACATATCGCAGGGCTCCAGGTAACCAGACCTCCCCATTATTTTCTACCTGAGACAGGAGCAACCTATTTTGCATGAAAGTCAATTTACAAAATGAAAATAAATTTGGTTGGGGAGGGAAGGTGGATCTGTGATTCTTTTTTGCTTTTTATATTAAAAAATCCTCGAGAGAATTTTTCCAACTTAAACTGTCTACTCTACTGAGTAACAGTGTCAAAGAGAGAAATAACACTGTCTTTAACCACTAAGATCTTAATGTGGGTGTGTCTGAGCAGTAAATACTGGTAGCTTCTTTTTGTTCATGCCCTGAAGTTATATAGCACTGGAGAATCCAAAAGCGAGATCATTTGCATTATTTGATTTCAGCAACAGGTTTAGAGGCAGATAATCTTATCATTTTCCTTGACAGATGGAGAGATTGGGATTTAGTGAGCTGGGTCTAAGAAAAGTAGTCAAGTTCATTGCATTGAAGGCAGCATCCCTTGAGTGCCTGCCTGTGCCAGGGGGATGGGGCAGGTGGGCATTCCTCCCAGGTACTTCCATCTCTTATGTATACAGAATCTCCTTCTGTTCAAGCAGGGCCAGCAAACCTCCTGACGCCGAGCAACCTCACACACTGGGGTCCCTCTAGGGCCAGATGGCAGTGCTATGCCTCACGGGACTGTCCTCTCCAGTCTCCGTAGTTCAGGCTGCCTGGCCCAACATGGACTCAAGGGCCTGAGGACTGTTTTAGAAAATTACTTTGTATTTACATTGTTGGGGAGCTACTCTAAGAAGGCACAGACACAGATTGTGTCTTTCCATAATGTCAGCTTTATTGAATCATAAAGCAAGGTTAACATAATTGTAAAAGCAAGTTCAGAATTCCAAACTCAATGATATTTCACTGCGCATTTACCTTGGCTTCATATACAACACACAAAACAAAGTACAATATAAAAGTCACATAACAAACAAGATAAAATAGGGTAAGTTAATGAACCCAATGCAAAGTCAGTCTACAAGCACACAGATGAGATGAGGTCTCGACCAGTATGGGTCCACTCAGTGCTTCCTGCTTAGTATGTTCAAGCAGGGGAGGATCTCTATTATGTTCAGAGATCAACTGGGCAGGACCTTTGGTGGCAGTTGCCTTTCTGATGCAGTCAGACGTGGAAGGGTCAGTGTCTGGAGAATATGACAGTTTGCTGCAAAAATCTTCCCTTTTTAAAGGAGTTTGATCAGTCTAGCCCTTCCAGACTTCGGATTCTACCAATCATCAGTTCTCGGTTCATCCAGGCTCTCTTGGCTTTGCTGGTCATCACTTCTGGGTGCCAACAGGCTGTGAAGAGTTTTAGTGATATTTATTCTCAGCTCATCACCCTTGTCTGCTTTCCTCATTCATGACATCACTGCTTGATGTGAGTGACTCCATCTCGCTCTCCACATTATGTGTAGATCCTGCAATATACATAGTCTACCTAAATGTATCCACAAATGTGCATGCTTTCTTAGGACCTTTTTACTCTTCCTTCTGTGTTTACTTCTTCCCTTTCTCTTTTCACACCAGCTGCCACTCATCAACCGACAATGTATCTTCCTCATTTTTCTTCATATATATATAATCTTATATATCCTACACAGATCTGTATATTATTTAAGAATAATGACATCATATTATACATATTTTTCTGCATTTGGCTTTTCTCCCTGAAGAGTTCCTTCAGAAATCCCTCTAGGTCTTCTAGCAGAGCTCCAATCCGTCCTTTTTAATGGCTGCACAATATTCCCAGGTGTGAACACACATCATTTACCCAGCCATTCTCCAGCTGACAGGCATTGCCGTGTTTCCAGTTTTTTGCCGTTCCAGATAATACTGTAATAAACATCCTAATACATAATGCTTTATGTATTAGTACTTTTAGTTCTACAGAATAGATTCCCAAGAAGGGGATCCCCGATTATATCTATTTTTAATTAACAGAAATTGCCAGACTGCTTTCCTAAAAGCTTCCACATCTCCACTAGTAATGCATGAACATACCCTTTTCTCTGCCTCCCTTCTAACTTTGGCTGACAGACCTCTTCGTTTTTGTTAGTGTGATGGATCTAAAATGAGACCTTACTATTACTTTAATAGCACTTCCCTGAATGTAAGTGATGTGAATCTTTTCACAAATTTCTTGGCCATCTGATTTTGTTCTTAGGTCATTTGCCTACTCGTATTTCTTGCCCATTTTTTTTTTATTGGGTTGTTTGTCTTTTTCTTGTCAGTTTGTAAGAGCTCTTTGTGTATTAGGGTTGTGGCTGAAGTTGCTGAGGCCTCTGTCCCAAGCCAAGATAGCTGACTAGGAGGCTTCTCTCCCTCTGTACTGTAGGGATAGTTGAAACAAGCCCAGGGGTTGTTTAGCAGAACTAGGAAGGCTATGATGACCTATGGCCACAGACTGCTGGTCACTGTTTAAATACTTAGTCTGAACAGAAGACTGTATTGAGCCAGGATGTAGCTGTGTGCGGAGGACTGAGAAGGTGAGGCAGTTCAGTACTGTGCTGCCTTCCACCGGTTAAGACCTCCGAGAGTGAAGGCCTGCCAAGGCAGAGGATGTCCCTCTGCCGCCCTTGGAGGGGCAGTGCTGTGCTGGCCGACATTTACAGTGCTGCATGTCCCTGGCTCAGATGAGGCAGTCCACTAAATTTAAAGGATTAAGACATCAAAATCAGTGCTTCTCACTCTTGTTTCCACCCTCGCTCTTACAACAGATGGCATTCATGTATGTGGCACTCCCCTGGGCATCCCAGATTTTGAAGAAACCCAGAGACATCTTCCAGGGAGGTAAAGCATGACGGTAATTGGTCACCCTGGCACTTTTAGGGGCACATCAGTAATGATCACTCTCAGACTCTGGCACAGGTAAGACAGTCTGCAGCTTATATATAGTTTTCAACCCCCAGCTCAAGAAAGCATTATCAGAATGCAAAGCAATAGTCTTGATATTATAGAAAACCTTTAAATCTCTTTTAATTTATAAAAATACAAGAATTCATAATCCTATTCTCTCCCCCTTTGTGTCTATCTAGTAATAAAAAAAGGAACTCTGTAAAGAGAGGATTCTAATATAGAAGAAATGAAATTCTAAAAAAAAAAAATAGTTAGGTAAATTTAGGTTACCAAAAACAGTTTCTAATACTAAAATCTGGTCTGTTTACTAACCATAATGTTACATAACCATAATGTTTACTAAGCATAAAAAAAAAATTATCCTTGAAAATTGTAACTCCCCTCTTCATCCTATTACTCCCCCTTTGGGGACTTTGGAGATTTAGTAAATCTCTTGCAGGAAATGTAGCCTTTTAATTTCCAAAGACTTTTTATACTAATTGGCTTTCATGAGAAACTATATTCAAATCAATGCCCGTTGTATCACAAGATATGTAAATAGCTAATTCTTTTGTTAGAAGAGGACTGGTACTTGTCTTTTTTGATGATTCTGGTAAGTTTGTGACCTTTTTTTAAAATATGAGTGATATGTTTAACGTGATGCCTGATCCTGACTAGAACAGCTTGGTGGGGAGAAAAACGAGATTTAGAAAACTATAACGTATCTGTAACAAGACTCTCAGCAACTGAAATAAAAGCTTACACTAAACACTACTACTATTATAGCAACTTATTTTTCCTGTTCCCAACTGTGTCTTCTGTCATTCCCAGTTACGTTAAAACAAAAGAGATTCTGGAACTTTATCATCTCCACAGCTGTTGGTTCAAAACCTGACAGTACAAGTGGACACTGGCTATCTCACTATGTATCTTGGCCTTGATTTTCCCCCTGAAATAAATTCTCAGAAGACCTCCAAGTCTGCCACGTGTTCTCTTATTATTTTTAAATTTTCAAAACAAATTTGTTTAGAATTACGCATTTGGTCCTTTGTGAAGTTACTTCCGCAAGACTAAACTTCACCTTTTCTATCCCTCCTTGTCTGATAGGTTATTTCTGTGATAAACTGTTTTAATAGGAAAGACTTTGCAATGATAGTCACTGGGTTGTGTGTGGATCCTTTCAACCACAGATATCTGCTGGACAGAGAAGAAGCTATTACTTTTATTTCCTTCCTTAATTAAAAGCATTGACAAAGCTTTTTATCTTTTAAATATATAGAGGAGATGAGCAATACAGAAAACTTCTTTTTGTTTTAGAACTGGAGCAACTATGACAGGGCGAGAAAAAAAAAGAACACTAGAATAACATGGTGCTAGCCAGTATTCTGGTATCTGTTTAGGGGGCTGTTTACTGAATTTCTTTAACTCACTGCCTGTCCTCTGAATTTATCCTAGCACTGCTGATGGTTCTTTAGAACTCAGGATTCATGCTACAGTGTTGCTACCTGACAACTGACATTGGCTGGAAACTCTGAGGCAATGACAGGGACCCCCCAAGGCCCACAGGACATGGCCTACCAACTAATTTAAAGGTAAAAATTCAGAAAACTGCTTTGTGTATTTGTTTTCCTAAGTATGTATATTTTTAAAACGTTTTAGTGTTTTTTTAGTACTGCCATTTTCCTCATAAGCACGTTGTGTTTTTTGTTTTTTTAAAAGATTTAATTTATTTATTTGACAGAGAGAGAGAGAGAGAGGAATCACAAGTAGGCAGAGTGGCAGGGAACGGCAGAGGGAGAAGCAGGCTCCCCGCCGAGCAAGGAGCCCGATGCGGGACTCGATCCCAGCACCCTGGGATCATGACCCGAGCCGAAAGGCAGACGCCCAACGACTGAGCCACCCAGGTGCCCCATAAGCACGTTGTTTTTAAAGTCACAAAACAGAGACTTGTATTTTGAAAAAAAATTTCCTCACTGAAAGGTCTTTAAAAGGCTGTTCACCACGGGCACTTACACCCCTCAAGTTTAAGAAACAAATCGTCCGTTCCCAAGGCTTTCCTTTTGGCTCGTTCCAACAGTTTGTTCCCTAACACTGAGAGCAGCAAACAAAATGAAGCGCTTACTCTGAGAAGAGTAACCTTTTTAAAAGAGAGCGAAGGAGACTAGTTAAAACTCACACATACAGCACTTCTTTAGCTGGTGCTTCCCATTTCCTTAGTATCAGTACCTGTGAGCTGGGGACCCGTCTGATCTTGAAGAGCGCTCCTAGTTAAGGGCAGAAGGGCTGGACAGGGCTAACATTTCCCGAGGACCAAACCGTTCATAGTATGAAAAAGAAACCCAGGTACCCGCAAACGAACCGTCGGCTTTTTATGTGTAACAAAAAGGCCGCCACCTCTGGCCGCCGAAGTTGTGCATGCGAGTGTGTGTCTAGTCGGGCGGCTGTCCTTACCTTCTCCCTCGAAACGCAGGCGCGGCGGAGAGAATGCGGAGTGACGAGCTGCCGGCGCCCATGGACGACACCGGCGGGCCGGACGACGCGGCGGCGCGGGGCGGCCCGTTCCCCGGCCTGGCTCCGGCCCCTCCCGGCCGCCTGGGGGCGCCATACTGCGAGGCCTGGGGCTACTTTCATCTGGCCCCCGCGCGTCCGGGCCACGCCGCGGGCCAGTGGGCCACCTGCCGGCTGTGCGGGGAGCAGGTGAGCCGCGGCCCGGGCTTCCCCGCGGGCACCCCGGCGCTGTGGAGGCACCTCAAGAGCGCGCACCGGCGGGAGCTGGAGAAGAGCTCCGCCCGCCGCTCGCCGCCCGCCGTCCCCTGCCCGGCGCAGCAGCCGCCGCCGCCGCCGCCGCCCGGGCCCGCCGCGGCCGCCGAGGGCGACTGGGCGCGCCTGCTGGAGCAGATGGGCGCGCTGGCCGTGCGCTGCAGCCTGCGTGAGCGCGAGCTGGCGCGGCGCGAGGCTGCCGTGGAGCAGGGCGAGCGCGCCCTGGAGCGGAGGCGCAGGGCCCTGCAGGAGGAGGAGCGCGCGGCGGCCCAGGCGCGGCGGGAGCTGCAGGCCGAGAGGGAGGCGCTGCAGGCGCGGCTGCGGGAAGTGAGCCGCCGCGAAGGCGCCTTGGCCGCCGCCTCTGCCCCGCTGCAGACTCCGCTCAAAGAAGAGCCCGAGGGGGAGAGGGACGGCTTCATAATCACCAAGGTCCTCCTGTAGGCTGTGGTCGCTTTGCGACCCCAGTCCCTCCCATGCCAGCGCTACTCCAAGTGTGGTCCGCGGACCGGCCTCGCCTGGGACCTGAATCTCAGGCCCGCCGACATCTCCAAATGTGGGCCCTTGAGAAGCGCTTCGGAGGCCGAACCAAAAATCACTAACGCTCCGTGGCCCCCCCAGGATGCCTGGGAGCACAAGCTCCAGTGGCCTCCGTTGCTGTTGGCCTTTAGGAGCCGGTTTTCTTCCCACCGCCTTTGGAATGACAGCTCGAGCAACTTCGTGAGACTAGGTCACCCGGAGTCTCGTACGCGGTGACTTTGAAAGGAGAGAAACTTCCTTGTGTACCAAAGACTATCATACTACGTGCCTGTACACCAGCCAGGGCAACCCAGGGTGGAGGGGGCTTGGAAATGAGGATAAAGCGTTTTATCCAAGAAGAGTTTTACTCCTTTCCCAATGAATAAATCTTTGGTAACTGGTTTGCCCAGCACGAAGTTCTGAAAAGGGGGCCACTTAGCTTCCACAACGGCTCTTTACCCTGTCCTCTCTTGTGCCTCATTGGCGCAGTCTGAGCGAACCCCTGTGTACTCCCCTCCCAGCTTGCAGACTATACCAAGTGCACCCTGTCCCACCCCAGCTGTTTTCTTTCCGTTTCACACCCAGTGTCAGCTGTAGTGAGTTTCCCCACTTTCCCACCTCACACTCCCTTACTAGCAAAACATGACCTACTCCCTCGTTAGGAAGGGAACTTGGTTTCCCACATCTCCACAATCCTCGCTTCTGGGTCACAGTAGAAGGAAAGCATTCCTCCCATCTGAGGCCACCTCTGTCTCTTTTTCTGTTCCCATCCATTTCTCTTCCACCGTTACTGGACCTTTGCCCCATTATTGTTTCTCCTTTCTTCTGACTTATTCCCTCCCTTCCCCAGACTACTCTTCCTCAGCAACAGGCTGCCCCCACTGAACACTATCCTATACTTCCTGCTGCCTATACTTCCTCCCATACGTCAATTCTTCGCTAGTGGTCAGCTTCCCATCCTACCCTGGACCCTTAAGAGCTGAATATGATGATTTATTTTCAGCCTTTGTCTTGCTAGTACAATGAACACCCACATACACCCTCCACCTAGACTGAGCAATTGTTAATATTCTGCCTTATTTAATTTTTTGGCCCTCTGCCCCAAACATGCATCGCATTTCATCCAGAAATATTTCACCATATATATCTCCTAATAGCGTCTAAAATAATTCTTAATCAAAATTCCCCAATTGTCTCAGAAATGTCTTATCTTTTCTAAAACAAAACAAACCAGGGTCCAATCAAGGTTCATTCATTACTTTTTGATTATAACTTTGTCTCTTTTAGTCTAGAACAGCTCCCTTATATTTTTTTCCATGACATTTTTGAGAGTCCCAGCCATCTGTCTTATAGAATGTCCTTTATTCTGGGTTTGTCTGATTGTTTGCTTAAGCCAATTTATGCACTCATTCTTGGCTCATCTACCTCTGTGCCAGTGACTCCTGGCTAACTCCAGCCTCGAGTGTTCTTCCCAGTTCAGTCCCTCATGTCCAACCCCCTGCTGCATGTCTCCCCCTCTACTTGTATATCCTGCCACTGCTGAGGAAAGGGCAAATCTGTTCAGTTCCACATTCCCACCCCTTACCCAAGAACTAACATTTACTGGGCTCTTAAAATGTACAGGTACAGGGGCACCTGGGTGGCTCAGTTGATTAAGCAACTGCCTTCGGCTCAGGTCATGATCCTGGAGTCCCGGGATCGAGTCCCGCATCGGACTCCCTGCTCAGCGGGGAGTCTGCTTCTCCCTCTGATCCTCCCCCTCTCATGCTGTCTCCCATTCTCTCTCAGATAAATAAATAAAAAATCTTTAAAAAAAAAAAATGTAGGGCGCCTGGGTGGCTCAGTTGGTTGAGCGACTGCCTTCGGCTCAGGTCATGATCCTGGAGTCCTGGGATCAAGTCCCGCATCGGGCTCCCTGCTCAGCGGGGTGTCTGCTTCTCCCTCTGACCCTCTTCCCTCCTGTGCTGTCTCTCATTCTCTCAAATAAATAAAATCTTTAAAAAAAAAAAAAATGTACAGGTACATACTGCACACTGCATGCATTATGTCACTTCATTCTCATAGCAGCTCCCTGAGGAGGTATTAATACTATGCCCATTTACAGCTAAGGAAACAGATACAGAGGCGTTAAGTAGCTTCTACAAGATCACAGCTGGTAAGTAGCGTTGAGATCCAAACCCAGTCTCTACCTCCAGATGCGCTGTTCCTGGCTGCTGTGCTGTCTCCCTTGCTAGTCACTGAGCTGACACCAAGTTTCCTCCCTCTCATTCCAGGTAATATGTCCGTGACATTAACATGCACTGAGCATTCACCATGTGCCAGAGCTGTGCTGAGCTTACAAGAGTAACTGCCTACCATGCAGTAACTCCATGACATATGCCCATTTTGCAGAGGAAGAGTTAGGCTCAGGGAGCTAAGTAATGTTGAGGCAGAGTGGGATTTGAACTCATGTCACTGAATCCTAGGTTCCTGTTTCTACAAAGTGCCACATCTGTCTTCCTTCTGATGCCACCTGTCAACCTCAGGCCTCATTTATCATTCATCTAGGGTTCATCTTCCCATCCTTGTCTTTCCCAACCGTCCCCTTCCTAACACTCAACTTGACCAAAGGAACTGTTCTAAGCCAACACTGATTGTATCACAATTCCTGCTCAAAGGCACCCCAAGATCACCCATCATCAATAAGCTTCGATTTTGTAGCCTGTCATTCAAGTGCCCCCACCCTGCTGCCAGTCTTATCTGTCCCCTCTCCTACCTAGCCCAACCGGACTCCTTGTTCCTCCTGACATGTCCTCATCTTGGCTCCTCCATGCTTGTTTGCCTTCCCTCCACTTAAAAGGCCCCTTCAATCTCTGAGTATGAAGAATTCCACCCATTTTCAAAGACCAAGTTCAAATTCAACTGCTTGCATGAAGTTTTCCTTGATTACTCCTTATTTAGAGATGATTTTTTTACTTCTCTGGACTCCTTGGCATTTTATAATCTCATAACACTTCGAACAGGCCATCTGGCATATGACTCTATGGGTTCTTGTCTTCCCTCTCCTGCCAGACCTGCACCCTTGGGTTAGCCTTCTATTCCCACAGTGCTTTGTATATAATAGCTGCCCAATAAATAAATTTGAGGCATTGAACTCAGTGTTTTGAAGGTTTTACAAGTTAGTTTTCCCACAGTTACTAATATAATTATTCATTTATCTTTAAATCTGAATAGAATTCATAGCAGAAAAAAATAGCCTAGAAGGAAATAGCAGTAATAATTTAAGCTGTTTAGTCAATAAAGATTTAGTAAGTATCCATTATTGCGCTGTTTGGTTTGAATCCAAATTAGTATATCACTACTAGTATGTCATTATCAGGAATGTTTTTCTTAAAATGTTTTTCATTACACAAGTAACACAAATGCAATGCCCCAATCTAGGAAGAAATCAGAACATCCCCCAAATTCCTGTCACCAATAAAACTGCTACAAACATTTTAATGTATTTTATTCTTCTGTCTTTCACAATCTTTACATTATCCTAAAAATAGTATGTTATTTCTGTAAGTACTGAAATATAACTACTTCATGTGGATGTGTAACTTGGGCTATAAGAGGAATTTGAACTTTTTAGAAGAAATCTTCTGCAAATGTTACTCTTCTATTTCACCAACTGTTAGAACTATTAATATCAGCAAAGACTGACTTTTAGAATCGCAATTGCTTCCTCAAGAAAGATAAATAATGGGAGCACCAATAGCCTGTTTAGGGGACGGGGGAATAGTTAGCCTGACTAGTAACTTAGTGCTGGCTGTGGGAGTTAAGCAAAGAGATTTTACTTTCTGCTTTATATACTTCTGTACTGTTGTACTTTTTTTATACCAAGCATGAATTACTTTCATAATCAAAAATAAAATTTACATTCCTCAAATGAGAACTCCTGACCATGAGCATTCCACTTTCTTAGGTAAAATAAACAAAACCCAACACAAGGACTGTTGTAATCCCTACTTTTAGAGAAGCCTAGAGAGAAATGCAGCCCTTGTCCAGTCTAACACTATCATTTGACAGAAGAGAAAAATGAGCCCCAGAGTGGCTTGCCCACTATCAGGAGATAGTGGCTGTGGTGGTCACCTGACTCCAACCTCAACAGATATTGTGCCTCTTTGGCCTTAAAGACTTCTGCTGGCTCATCTGTGAAAGCCCAAGGGCTGTCAGGACCAATAAGCCAAGCTGGCCTCCAGAGGACGTAGAGATGGGTTATGGGGACTGCACTGGTCTCTCTGCCTGTCACCCAGTCGACTCACAGAGAGCTGTCATTGCTGATGGGTGACAGTGACACACCTTGCCTAGATCAGCAGGGCTTCTCTGACTTCTGTGACTGGCTTACTAATAGCGCCACCCACGTGCTGCCTTTGAGAGCAAGCACACAGTGGGAGGTGGATGGCTGGAATGGGGATGCAGAATGCCCTGAACCCAACTCCTGAACTCCTGCCATGATGTAAAGTGATCAGTCACTTCTTTAAGTTTAAATTTGGCAGAGAGGAGGGGGAAGCAAAGCAGGGCACTGACAACCAAAGTTGAAACAGCTAGAGCCCTTTATACACCTAAGCTGTCATCCATGGAGCTGGAGAGGGAAGAACTGGTTTGGGCTTTCTATTTTAAATAGCTGTTCATGTCTTTAACATCTTAGAAGGGATTCACAAAGACTGGACTTTTGTTTTGCTGCCACTCAATAGGGAATTCTATTTCTAAAGGTTTGAACTTCTTACCTTTCCACAACCTAAATCTGCTTGTCTGCAAAATGGATGAGGTGATCATTAAGGTCCTCTTTGGCTCCAACATGGTATGATTACATGAAATACAGTTTAACATCAACTGCCTTTGAGTCAATGAATTGTTTGGTTTAAATGATTTTCTTGGTCACTGCAAATTTAGAAGTAAATGTTGACAGTGACATGAGTATTCTCAAAAATAACAGGAGTGTATCAAAGTTCTTCCATAGTAGTGAAGTACTAACTTTATCATTCACTCCCTAGAACTGAAGATGTGTGCAGCAGTTATGAGTATGCTCTGTTGTATCCACTCCTTTGTCCTCATGACACCCTGCAGGCAGGGCAAGTATAATTTTCCATATTTTACAAATGAGGCCATACACTTCAACAAGGTGAAGTGACCTGCTGAAAGACAACAGCAGATTGGAGGCTGGAACTCAATCCATGGATCCCGGTCATACCTGGGGCCAAAAAGTTGCACTTCCTCCCAGGCCTCCCTTCTGGTCCACCTCTTGACCAGTGCTATCCTGGCTGGAGTGCCTACTGACACTTGGGTTGATGTTGGCTGCTTTCCACCCACAAGCTCTGGTGTTGGGGGTAAGCCAGACTTTAAGGAAGTGAGGTTGGCCATTGTATTAGTTTGCTATTGCATATGTAACAAATTACCACAAACCCAGTCCTAAAAACAACACAAGTTTATTATCTTACAATTCTGCAGGTCAGAAGTCTGAAATTGAACTCAGTGTCAGCAGAGCTATGTTCCTTTCTAGAGGCTCTAGGAGATGTTTTTTTTTTGCCTTTTCCAGCTTCTAGAGGCTGCCCACATTCCTTGGCTTGTGGCCCCTTCTGTCAAGGTCAGCAAGGGCCATTCTTTCTCACATTGCATCACTCTGCTACCCTCATCCACATTAAATGGACCCTTCTTATTTTATGGTCAGTTGGTTAACAACCTAATTCTATCTGCAACTTTAATTCTTCCCTGCCAGGTAACATATTGGTAGTTTCCAGGGATTAGGATATAGACATTTGCTGGGGGGGCAAGGGTGGGGGATCTATTATCTGCTTACCACATAGCAGTATCCTGCCTGGCTTAGGTTTGGAGGTATGTGAGAAAGGCAAAGTGCTTGATGGGGAGCCCCTATTCCCCAGAAATCAATACTTTAATGGGGGTCCTAATCTCCCCCACCCCTCCTTATAAATCTGCCTAGTGCAGGGAGTGCTCACAGACTTTTCTGAGACAGATCCCTGCAAGGTGGGTGTGAAAGATGCCTCTGGGGGAAAATCAGAGGCCTTCATAGTGTAGAGAACTAAACATTTAAATAACTGTGCACTAACTAGGATCTGATTGACTAGGAAGGTGGTGATGTTTGAGTTGTCAAGCCTTTGGAGTCAGATATGAATTAAAATTTAAGCTTCCCCCCAAAAACAGAATACTCAAATACTACGATTAATAAACATGTTGAAATATTTTTTAAAAAATCTAAGCTTCCAAACATGTATGTTACATGTCACCTTGGCAACCACCTTAACCTCTCTGAAACCCAGTTTCCTCATCAGTAAAATGGGGATAATATATACCTTACAGGGTTGTTACAATGATTAAGATATTTGGGTAAATTCTGACATATAGTTTAAACTCAGTAACTATGACTTCTTTCCTTCTCTCTTATCTGAATAGAAGCTCAAAATCAAGCCAAAGGATCTCAGAAAGAGAAAGTTCCCTGGGATGAATGCTGAGAGCAGCTGCTCACAAGCCACATAGGTTTGCCAAGTCATTTTCCTTCATGATAGATACCTGAGTTCTCAAATGAGCCAATCCAGTCAGAACTCATTATGACTTGTGACTATAAAGTAGTTTGACCGAAATTACAAGTAAATATATCAAACCCTATCCATCTAAGTACTTTTCCCTTCAAGTAGTTACCTTGAAAGACTAGTTTTTCCAAAAATGCTTCTATGCTTAGAATGTCTCTGGAACTCCTCTTCCAGAGTAACTCTCAGAGTCTTAAAAACTTCCTTCTTAAAAGCATCCTTAAGTTGGCAAATACTCATATTTCCAGGAAAATTTTGATTTTTGAAAAGAGCTGCCAGTTATTCAGAGCCCAGACTGGTAAATATGGTAGAACCAGATTAAAACATTTCTGGTTAATAAGGTGTGATTATAATAAAGCAATAATTATTTTAGTGTGGCTCATATATTGGCCTTGATAGTGTTATATATGAAGGTTAAGTAAAGGCAACATGGTCCTAGTAGACATTAAAGTCCACTTTAGTGGGTTTATGATGTGAATTAATTCAGATAGCACTGGGAGTCATTACATACTTAGATAGTATTAAATGTTTCTTTTTATGAAAATTTTAATTATGACATTCTCTGAAATCTGATTTCATAGTATTAAAATAAAGGCTTTAAGGAAAAGCATTAATGCTAATGAAAGCTTTATTATTTCAGTATATATTCTCCTGGGCCTTTGGTCAAGATAAGTAATGATCAGATGAAGGAGTTGGCAACCTTCCTGGCCTCTGCAGTCCACTAGTAACTGAAGGCTAAGTAACACACTCACATGTTTAAATACATTTAACAATATTTTACCAACTTCTCCCTCTCTTGCTTTTTGGACAATGAAAGACCATGGCATCTGAACACAGATGAAGAAAGCTAGCTTTTTGTTGAAGAATTTCTGAAAAGTCATTCTTACTCAAGCAGGCGGAAGTCATTTGCCTCCATTCACATTAACTTCCTCCAGGGACTTTCTGATTTACATGTTCTCCATCAACTCCAATTTCCAATGACATGATTCATGTTGCTTTTCCTTTCTTTCTTTCTTTCTTTTTTTTTTGGTACTTCAGTGATCTGTTGTTCAGACTCAGACCCAAAAAACCCAGGGTTTGAGCTGGCAGAGTCACTACTGTGCTCAGGTAACTAGAGGAGACACATAACTGAATGAGGGGCTGCAGCCTCAGTAAGGTTTTACTCTTGTCTATACATCCAAAACCCGGAAGAAACATTTTCTGAGGGCAGAGTTTATAAGATTCTCCTAAAAAGGTCTGGTTTAGGGGCAGACCTGAAAACATTTGAAAAACACAAACTGCTCCTTTCCCCTCCACCCCAAGAGCTTTGGCTTTTGCAAAAACTTTGAAATGAACAGAAACTGCTTTGGATTAATACTCTGAACTATCAAGGCCTTCATGTGACTACTTGGCCTTTACATTCTACAAATACTATCTAAAAATACATGTAAGATGACAGGGAGTCTTGTCCCATTTATTACTGTATCCCAAGTGCCTAGCATAGTGCCCGGACTTTAAGTTCCTCAAGGCTATCTGCTGAATGAATGCATGCTGTTCGAAGATTTTACCATCTGAAATCTAGTCCCTTTTGCAGTTCTCCCTATAGTTCTCCTGCTCCTACAGTGTACTGAGAGCCAGGGTGGGCCTGTTGGATGTCCCTATCACCTTCTCCAGATGGCTTCATTCCATGCAGAATCCACCCCTTCTTTGAGTAGGACCTCAAAAGGGTCACCTAACAAGACCCTTCTACCCTTTCTCACTATCATCTACTAGTCTCCTGCTCATTCTGCAGTACTCGTTTAAGTGTACCTCCTATCATCACCTGAAGGAATGAAGATGATGCATCCACTTACTCACCCCACCCTTCACCTTTCCTCTGACTTCAATAATCACCATAGCCACTCCAGGATGCTTCTCCTACAACTGTGCCCTTGCTATTGGTAGCATGGCATAATAACACTAATAACTGCTAATATTTGAAGGCTTATTATGCACCGGACACTGTTCAATACCACATAGGCCTTATCTCATTTAAAATTCCCAATAGGGGCGCCTGGGTGGCTCAGTCGTTAAGCGTCTGCCTTCAGCTTGGGTCATGATCCCAGAGTCCTGGGATCGAGTCCCGCGTTGGGCTCCCTGCCCTGCGGGAGGCCTGCTTCTCCCTCTCCCTCTGCTGCTCCCCTTGCTTGTGTTCCCGCTCTCGCTGTGTCTCTCTCTGTCAAATAAATAAATAAAATCTTAAACAAAACAAAACTTCCCAATAGCTGCATGAAGACAGTAAAGTATGGAGGTTTAAATAAATTTTTAAACATCGCTCAGCTCAGGAGGCAAATCCAAATCAGCCAGACTCCTTAGCCTGTGCTCTGTGCACTGGGATGAAAAGAATCAAGATTTAAACCTCAGCCCTGCCACTGTGCCACAGAGACTTTTTGATTTTGAGCAAAAGAAAAACCTCTCCAAACCTCAGTTTTCTAATTCATAAAATACCGGCAGGAATAAAGAAGATAATGTATGTTAAGTGCTTAGCAGAGTACCTGATATGCCACAAATGTGTGTTCCATCCATCCAACCAACACACGCTCCTAAACATTCAGCGCTGTGACAGGTACTGAAGATACAACAGTGAGTAAGACCAAAAAGGTCCCTGCCTTCACAGGTCTGCACAGCTCCTGATGGGTGCTCAGTAAGTATTTGATAGATGGAAAAAGCCCTCCAGGAGGTCTGTTAGCCTCCACTCTGCCCCTCTTCAATCAGCCAGTTATTTTGCTATAAAGCAATCTACTGAGAACACTTCACTGCTTAAAATCCTTCAGGAATTCCTCACTGTGGAAGAGATAAAAATCCAAATTTCTTTTTTTATTATTATTTTTCTAAAGTAGGCTCCACACCCAATGTAGGGCTTGAACTCACAACCCCAAGACCAAGAGTTATATGCTCTACAGACTGAGCCAACCAGGAGCCCCAATCCAAATTTCTGAACACAGTATTATAGCTAGGTACGTGGTTCAGTTCCCCTCCCCACCAGCTCCTCTTTAAGCAGTGAAACTCTTTATATGACACCTATCTGGAAGCCAAATTAATGTAGACCAATTCTGGTAATAGCATGAGAACTGGAGTCACGTTTGGCATCCTAACCCCTTCCCAGCCTCATCACTCATTCACACACATGCACGCGCGCATGCGCGCGCACACACAGACACACGCACACACTCACTCTTACCTGCAGCTCCTCTAAGGCAAAGCCATAGGTTCTGTCAAACCATTTGAAAACCAAGCTTTAAATCTGGGTATTTCTAATTGTAGGACACAACCCATCAGTGGATTATGAAATCAATTTAGTGGTTAGAATCAGTGATTTGGAAAACAAAAATAAAGAGTACATTATGTGAACTAACAGCTAAGTATTGGTATATAAAACCTGTTACAGGGGTGCCTGGGTAGCTCAGTCCATTAAGCGACTGACTCTTGGTTTCGGCTCAGGTCATGATCTCAGGTCATGGGACTGAACCCCATGTTGGGCTCCATGCTGAGCGTGGAGTCTCTGTCCCCCTCCCTCTGCTCCTCCTCCCACTCTCTAATAATAAATCTTAAAAAAAATAAAACCTGTTATAAATGTACACACAACACACTTATGTTCTGAGCCATGACATAAACTGTATTTCTTAACATGGATCATGGTCAAAATGGTTTGAAAGCCATTGCTTCACACCCTCTGTGTAGCCTCAGTTCCTTCCACGTTTCCTCAGTCACACAAAACCCCATCTGTATCAAGCCACTTGCAATTCCCCAAACCCACCTTGCTATTCCACTGCTTGCCTGTAAGCTATAAGCCAGTCATGGTGCTAGGCACTGGGAGTACAGTTCAGAGAAAAACCAAGGTCTTGCCCACATGGCACTTAAGAATCTAGACAGACAAATGCTATACTAATCACATTAATATCTGTGACCCAAAGTAAATAATCTAAATGGAACAAATACGATTTCCAAAAACACTTATCAAAGGCAATCAGTCTGTCTAGGGGACAAGGGACACATCCCTGAAGAGAATCAATTAGCAGAGATCTAAATGTCAGAGTTACCTAGGTAAAAGGGTACAGGAAGAGCAATGCAGACATAAGAGAAGATCAGTGGCCCTAGAGTAAGAGAGGGTGTGGTATGTTTGAGGAACTGAAAAAAAGGCCAGCCTGGCAGCAAGTGGGGATGATGTAACACAGGACGGCAAAAGCTGGCGGTGGCTAGACCAGGTAGGGTGTTATGGGCCAGGAGTTTGTTTTCCGTCCTCAGAGTAATGGGAAGCTGTGCACAGGAGGATTTAAACAGGAGATGATGAAAGAGGAGCTGTGAAGACACTGTGTCTGCAGTGTGGAGGATGCACGGGAGGGAGGACAGGGTGACTGCAGGGAGACCAGCTGGGAAGTTAGTAGCACAGTCCAGGTGGGTGTTGACAGAGAACTGATTTACTGTATGGGAAACTGGTGGAGGGGACGGAGGGTGAGTGTATGAAATAGCGGCTGACTCCTTGATTCTAGCTTACTAAACAACTGGATAGATGGTGCTGCCAGCTGAGAGAACAAACTGGAAAAGACCAGGTGTGGAGAAGACTATGGATTCAGTCTTAAACACTGCATTTAAGGTGACTGAGTTGGAGATGTATCCTAGCTAAGACAACCTGAAGTCATGGGTATATAAATGGTAAATGAAATGTGGCACACAAGAGTGAGGAAAATGCCTAGGGTTGAGCCCTGAAGGCCTCTCCACTTCCAAGTGCTGTATTCTTACCTATTATAAATGTGTAGGAGTACCCATAGGTAAGTGCACAATTATACCTGCTTAAAGGTCACATACAGATGGGGCACCTGGGTGGCTCAGTCGTTAAGCATCTGCCTTTGGCTCAGGTCATGATCCCAAGTTTCTGGGATCGAGCCCCACATCGGGCTCCCTGCTCCGCGGGAAGCCTGCTTCTCCCTCTCCCACTCCCCCCTGCTTGTGTTCCCTCTCTCGCTGTGTCTCTGTCAAATAAATAAATAAAATCTTTAAAAAAAAAAAAAAAGGTCACATACAGAGGGCCCCTGGGTGGCTCAGATGGTTAAGCGTCTGCCTTCGGCTCAGGTCATGATCCCAGGGTCCTGGGATCGAGTCCCGCATCGGGCTCCCTGCTCCTTGGGAGCCTGCTTCTCTCTCTCTCTCTCTCTCATGAATAAATAAAATCTTTAAAAAAAAAAAAAAAAGGGTCACATACAGAAATAATAAAATGTGAAAGTCTGCTCACTTCTTTGGCAATTAGTATTAACAATTTGACGTGTACCCTTATATTTTTTTAAAAATGAGATCAGGCTATACATACCTTTCTACAATCTGCTTTTTCAAGTCAGTAATGTAGTGAGAATATTCTTTATCAGGGTATAGATAATTCTAACTTACGCATTTGAATGGCTTCCAAGTATTACATAGTAGGACTGCAAAACAATTTAACCAACCCCACAGAATTCCCACTAATGGATAGTTGGGTTATCTGGCAGCCTGTTACCTGTCCATTCAATAAGCCTTATTACTGAACTCTGATTTTGTTTCAACAGCAACATGTTCAGCCCCAGGTGATGGTTCATGATTGGCTTAAGCCAAGTGAGACCATCCTGTTGCCCACCTTTTCAACTTCCTTTGCAACTATGGGTAGTCATGTTATCAGATTCTGGTTAATGACCCTAAGGAGAAGTTTGCTATGAGAGCTTGTGAGTAAACTTTTATCTTCCTGGTAAAACAGAACTAACACAAATACTGCTCTCTTTTCCCTTTCTTCCTGTTTTGGACATGAATATGACAGAGGAGTTCTAAGTCATCTGCAACTATAAGGCCATAACCCAACGCCAAAATTAGTAAAACAGAAAGGCAGAGAGCAAGCCTGGGCTCCGACACACATAGACACACACATAAACACTAACTCATTTTAAAGAACCCAAATGTACATATTTTCATTTTAAAGTCTGAAAAAGTAAAGTGTTTCAGATTAAAGATTCAGAGCAGAGATGTAAGTGATGCTCTGCAAAAATAAGAAGCATGCTTAACACAAGATGATGGGGAAACACTGCAAACACCTTTAGGTCTTGAGTCCAGAAACACCTTACTGGCTCCCTGCCAAGCACATCTCTCTGTCCTGCAACTTGACAGGATGGCCTTTCTACATAATCTCTGACACCTCGCTTTCCCTTATTTGAGATTTCTATCTTCTTTTGCATGTTCTTGGAAAATGTGCCAAATTAAGACATAATCTTTTACACAAGAAGTTGGAAGGTATCTGATTTGGGTGAGCCATTAAATTTCATAAGAATAAAAATGAAACATCAGAAATAAAAACTTTTAAAAGCCAGGGGGGTGGGGGGGCTGGGTGGTTCAGTCGATTGGGCATCTGACTTTGGCCTGGGTCATGATCTTTGGGTCCTGGGGTAGACCCCGTGTCGGGCTCCAGGCTCAGCAGGGAGTCTGCTTCTCCCTCTTCCTTTCCCTCTGCCCCTCACCCCACTTGTGCTTTCTCTCAAATCAATAAATAAAAGCTTTAAAAAAAGTAAAAATAAAAATAAAAGGAGGGGGAAAAATCCTTTTTGAAAAATGTGCTACCTAGCTATTTAATTCTAGAAAATAATTTGTTAGTTTACTCTAACTTTTATGGTTTCTTCCATTCTCAAATTTTGTCAGCTTCTCATGTTCTGGCAAAAATGAAAGATGTTAGATTTTTCAAAATTCAGCAACCTATACCTCCACTTAAAATAAACCCTAGGGGCTTCTCCCTCTCCCTTAACCGCCCCCCCCCCCCGCTCTGTCTCTATTTCAAATAAATAAATAAAATCTTTTAAAAAAGTGGGGGGGCGCCTGGGTGGCTCAGTCGGTTAAGCGTCTGCCTTCAGCTCAGGTCATGATCTCAGGATCCTGGGATCAAGCCCCACATCGGGCTCCCTGCTCAGTAGGGATTCTGCTTCTCCCTCTCCCTCCTCCACTTTGTTCATGCTCTGTCTGTCTCTCTCTCAAATAAATAAATAAAATCTTAAAAAAATAAAAAAATAAACCCTTAAAGACTACTACAATAAATTTATACTGTGTGAATAAATAATTTAAAATATGAGACACAAAACAATTTTATATGTAATCCAAATTGTACATAATTCACATCTTTGCTTCTAAACAAATAGAAGCTCACATCTCCATACTACTTTTACAGTTTACAAAGTACTTTTATATACATCTTCTCATTTTCTATTCAAAAGACATGAAAGATAAATATTATTCTTATTTCACAAATGGAAATAGACCCAGACATTATTCAGTCCTTTAACCACCAATAGTATAGCCCTGAGACTGTAGATCTGCAAAGGGTTTTAATAACGCAAATATCACACATATTTCAGTTTTTATCACCATTTTCAAGTCTCCATTTTCTTAACAAAAGAAAGCAATGAAAAAAGTCTTCCACAATCTAATAATAAAAATGGGAAATATTATATACACAGTTGTATACTTTACTGAGTGAAATCTACCACAATTCTAATTTGGGCCACCTATATACAGGGAACCAGTACCAGAACCACATTTAAATGAGTAATTTTTTTCTATTTTAGAAAAAAGAATGCAGAACACTCCTGTTGCCTTCAAGTTTAATGTACATATGTAAGTGTCAGGGTGTGTAGGTGGCTATGAAGGACACAGAAAATTACTTTTTGCAGATTTGGAGTTATAGGACCTCTGATGGTCCCAGCTTAGACCTAGAGGGTCTTGACAATTTGTTTGGTCATATGTCTCACCTTTAGTAATTTATTTATTTTTCTTTCCCCACCACCCCCTTTTCTTCTTAAGTACTCTGTTCCATTCAGAGTAGAAATTCCATCAAGTAGCCTTTCTTTCTGAATTATCTTCCCCATTGTATAATTTTTTTCAGAATTTTCTTTTCCCATTTCTAAATCTTGAAGACATTTCTTTACAGTCGATGAGGGAGCTATAGCTTATATTCACTGCCAGAAAACAGCCAGTTCCAGCATAATTTCCCAGCAAAAAGCTGAGAGAAAAGTTGAACAGAAAGGAAGAGAACAGTGATAGCCGGCAGAGCAGTGACATGCACTCGAAGAGCTGCACTGCAGTTCTCTCCGATACTTCAAGTTATCCTGTTGTTCCTGCTCTGCCAATTTAAAGAGGAAAATTCTGGCTGGTCCTGAGTTCAAAGCAGACCTATCTGTTTAAAACACTGGTTCAAGGAATCACTCTTTTTGATGTTATAATGTTTTTATTGCATTTGAAGACATTTTCAATAAATATCTTGTGTTTGAGGCCTTAGCTAGGTAATCCTTTTGCAGTAGAAATCAGATTTCTCTGGCACAACTCCATTGCCAGCAATGGGATTTATCAAAACTATAAATACCAGCACATGGAATATTTCAATACTGTACTCAATTGCTCGTATCTAAATATTTCAGCTATAAAACAAACCAAATGTAAATGCTTAATATATAGTACAAATCAACAAATTCTTCACAGAAGAAAACAATGAAAGACTAGTTTTCTATAACATATCACCTGTTCATTAGTTCTTCAATACTATTACTTAGAATATTTTAAGAATAAAATTTATGCACCACTATCCCTGTGTTCTCAACATTTTTTATCTAAGTTCTAAAGGACATAAACAAGGATGCATATAATCAGACTTGTTTTTATAAACTTTTGATGTTTTTCTTGTTGTATATCTTATAATAATGAATATATGAAGACAAGGACAAACGTACATTTAAATCATTACTGGTTATATGAATTTTGCATAAATGGGTCTTATAAATGACAAGATAAAATAACAAAGTTTGATAAGCTCAGCCGTGCCCTGTGAACTTTAGTCTGCTCACAGCATAACCTAATTCAATTACTATTTATTAGTTTTTTAAAAAATCTTTTTTTTAAAAGCTGCAAACCACAGTTTATTACACATTTCTGAATCATGAGGGGGTAAATTGTGATACAGTTCCCTCATGCCATGGACTCTTTTGGAAGGAAAAGTTCTGCAATAAAATAAGAGTTTCCAAACTCTTTTTTAAAAAAAGTGTGAATTGTGTTCTATGACTAACCTTCACTCTATGGTTCCTTTGACCCAAGGGACGGTTCCTGGCACATCTTTTTGAGATTTAGTTTCTGGGAAGTTTTCAGCAAACCTCTCTCGTGCTTTCTCCCAGTTCTTTTTGCTCTTGTTTTGGAGAAGGTGAACATCTTCAATCGAGGATGGTTTGCCTGTCCCCAAGCCTGCATGTGTTCGCCGAAGCTGAAGCTGGATCTGTTACCAACAGTTAAGCAGAGGACTTACTATGGAGTCTAAATACATTGAAATTTGCTGTACCCAACTTGGTACTTTAACTCTTTGATTTACAAAGATTGATGCAAAAGAAACCTGTCAAATCTATCAAATACATGCAGGAATGCACACATAATTATACATGGAACTTAAAGTCATTCTTCTACGCTGTCTTCCTTATCAGTAACTATAGCTGACTCCGTATAGAAAACAGAGTGCTCCTTAAAGAGTGGCCACCAAATTTCACCGAGATGCTGCAAAGGCTGCTGTCCCACTCTAAGCAGAAGAAAAGGCAATGGACATACTTAAACCTACTGCTACTCTAGCCTTGCCTAAGAAAGTGAAAGAGTAGATTAAACACTAAGAGTCATAAAGAGAGGGGTGCCTGGGTAGCTCAGTTGGTTTAGCAACCCACTCTTGGTTTTGGCTCAGGTCATGACCTCAGGGTTGTGGGATCGAGCCTGGCATCAGGCTCCGCGCTCACGCTCTCTCTAAAATCAATAAAATCTTAAAAAAAAAAAAAAAAAAAAAGCCATAAAGAGAACTTGATTGTTTATTTTCATAAAATGAGGGGGAGGACTTCTGATTATTTTGAGAACTATTAAAAGCTACCAGTTACTGAGTGCCTACTGTACGTTGGGCACAATACTAGGGGCCTTATCTTCATGATACCCCTTAGAAAACAGTTCTTATAATACCGATTTTTACATATGAAAACTGAAGTCCAAACCTGCCCTAAGTCACACAACTAGTAAGTGACAGAGCACCTATTCTAACAAAATAATTCTATTTTATAGGTTTGACTATAAAACCCATGTTCTTCTCATTGTACCTCATAAGTAAGAAAAGTCACATTAAACCTCACAATCATCCATCATTTCCTTAAGTACCAGGTAATTATAAAAAAAGTTCTTTAATCATGTTACTTTGTAAGGTTTTTGTAAAAGATAATCTAAACCTCTGATGAACCATGGGGACTGCAGAATTAACCACTGCACTGTTTTCCAGACAGTAATTCCCTCTACTGCTTGTTACATGACCTGATTCTTAAATCGAAAACAGATATAGGATCTGCCTGTTTGTAAAGTAACACTGTGGGGGCACCTGGATGGCTCAGTCGGTTAAGCATCTGACTCTTGATTTCAGCTCAGGTTGTGACCTCAGGGTCGTGAGATCGAGCCCCCATGTGGGGCTCTGCACTCAGGGAGTCTGCTTGAGATTCTCTCTCTTCCTCTCCCTCTGTCCCTCTCCCTGCTTGTGCTCTCTCTCTCTCTTAAATAAACGAATAAATCTTAAAAAAAAAAAAACACACAAAACAATGCATATATATATATATATTTGGTATTGTGAATGCCACAAAGACAGTAATCATGTCTATTTGTGCTTGATACTACACTCCTGGCACTAAGGTACACAGTAGGTACACAGTAAATACATCTGCTATAAGAATAAAGAATGAAAGAAAACACATGTCTTACCGGAATTTTCATTCCTCCACCATCCTTCCCTAGGCCCTCTCCTTTTTTCCAACCCATCTTCTCCAGCATCTTCCGACCTTTGTTGCTATCAGTAATTTCACTTTAAAGGAAATTAAGATAGTTGATTTCGAAAAGACCATGTAGATCACATTTATAATAAACTAATAAATTAAAAGTAACTGGTACAAATACTATAGAAAACTGTTTGACCTACCTAATACAGTTAAGATACATAAATTGTTCTATATATACTACTTAACAGAAAAGCACATACATGGTGCACACACAAAAAAATGTAGAAGAATGTTTCTGCAGCAAATTTAATAATAACTACAAATTGGAAATAATCCAGAGATCTATCAATGGTAAAATATATAAATTGTGGCATATTCATGTAAGAGATTATACAGCACTGAAAATAAAATATACCTAACAAAATAATGTTGGACAAAAAGAATATAGACACAAAATAAATACTAAATTATTCCATTTATTTAAAATTCAAAAACAAGTGAAATTAATCTGTTCCTACTGGAAGTCAGGAAAGTGGTTGCCTTTAGGGAGAAAACAGGAATAGTGATCAAGAGGGGGCACTAGGAGAGGATAGGTTTCTGGGAGTTACTGATCATTTTCTATTTCTTGACCAAGAAATGTATACTCTATAATGTGTTAACCTTACGATATACTATTGATAGCAATACTTATATTTGTGTACTTTTCTGTAAGTAAGTGTACATCAATAGAAAAATAAAAGTAAAATGAAACAAAAACTCTCATTCACTATTTGCATTTTATTCTATGATTTTATGTTCTGCTAGTTTAAGGATATTTTGATTTTATGTTCCATCACACTGTACTTTCAGTTCTACAAAATATGTTAAATTACCTCCTCAATAACAATAAACCAAGCAATGGCAGACCAATGTATTTCATTTTTTATTTCTGCCTTCTAATTTAACTCTAATGCAATCTTCATATTTTCCAGCTATTACATCAAAAATTAAACTTTAAAAAAACTTGTCATGTTGCTTAGTATATCTAATTCATAACGCTGTATTTCATCAAAGCTGATGGATGCAAGATGCACTGTTGTTTTATGTACCATTGAGAAAACACTGCTGTCATATGTAACTAAAACTCTATCCAAGTAGTGTATCTTGGAATTAATAAAATACATTTAATCAAAGTTTATGGTTAGTTGTCAGTCTTACACAAAAGATTTAAATTCTAACTAAACTCTGAATTTATATTGAGAAAAAAAAATGTAGTTAATATATGATTAAATGCAGAAATATGGTCATATCATATGGGCCACAAAATTACATTTTTCTTGTTATCAGTGCTACTTTACCAAAAGAAAAAAACTGAAAGAAAAATAAGAAAAATAGTATTCCAGAGTCAACAAGAACAAACGTAGGTGAGTACTGAAATAATTATAAAAAATACCAGCCCCCCCCACCAAAAAAAACCCCAGTCCATACTAATTTCTTACTAGCCCAAACTTTTAGATATCTAGTATATAAAAATATGTTCATTCAAGGGCTCCTGGGTGGCCCAGTCGATTAAGTGTCCGGCTCTTGATTTCAGCTCAAGTCATGATCTCAGGGTTGTGAGATCAAGCCCCGCATTGGGCTCTGCGCTGAGCAAGGAGCCTGCTTGAGATTCTCTACCTCCCTTGCCCTCTGTCCCTCCCTCCTCCAACTCACATGTGCTCTCTAAAAAAAAAAAAAAAGTTCACTCAAGTGGCTGGCTAGAATGTTAGCTATGTACATGTATGTCTGTATAAGTATTTGTACTTTCATATATGCTAAGTAATTTTCTAGGGAATGGAATTCTAATATTGAAAGAAAATGTAAATAGAGACAATATTTCCATCTTGTTAGAACCATTCCTTTAAAGACTAATTACCAGTATACATAGTCCTATAAGTCATATTACTCTACGAATGTGATTACAATACAAAGAATGTTTCGAGCAATTAAAACTTAGTACTCACGAATGAACAGATGCAGGAGCATCATCTCTTTGGAAAGTCCCTTCACTTCCAATCTGCTCCCTCCGTTTCCCAGCTCTATCTTTGTATTTTGGATTCTTCAATGCCTTTTCATCTTCATAGTCTGTATTCTTTATAAACATGAAATATTCATTGAAAAAAACAAAACTGATACATAAAAATGTACTGTCTGTATATTTGCTTTACTTGGCAAACACGGTTCAATGTAGTCTCTATTAAAACAACAAATTAAAAGAGGACATGATATAAATTAAGACAATCATGTAGAGTATGCTATTTTCATTCTATCTCCTTTAAAATGTTTATATTATTTCAAGTTGTAGAACATAAACTGCATATAGAAGATAATCTAAATCATATATGAATTGTAATATGCAATCGTAAGAGAATAGAGTGAAAATATAGTACATTTTGACTTAATACTGTGTACTCATATTCTCATGAACTGCCAGTATTCAAAGAAATATGCAGAACCCCTGGGTTTGGCAAAAAATCGACTTCTCCTTTTCTCTAAGGGACTGAAAGTTCCAACAGACCTAAAATAGTTTGGTGTTATTCCGTAGGAGGGAAAAATGTAGAAAGTGTTTAAAAAATGGAAAAGAGCAGGTACTCTTTTGCCGTGGCAATTATAATAGCTTTTTGCTTCAATATAGCTCCATTTATATGATTAGTCAGCCACTCAAGAAATATTTACTGAATAAAAAGTGTGGTATGCAAAGAAACTTGTAATCCCAGAAGGCAGACACATCTGATCTTCAGCATGCTACTGTCTGACTGATTCAACAATAAAAGTATGCACAAGAGGGGCCCCTGGGTGGCTCAGTCATTAAGCGTCTGCCTTCGGCTCAGGTCATGATCCCAGGGTTCTGGGATCGAGCCCCGCATCGGACTCCCTGCTCTGCGGGAAGCCTGCTTCTGCTTCTCCCTCTCCCACTCCTTCCCTGCTTGTGTTCCCTCTCTCGCGGTGTCTGTCAAATAAATTTTAAAAATCTTTAAAAAAAAAATTTTTTTTTAAAGTATGCACAAGACATAGCAGTGGCACAAAAGAAGAGGTAGTCAATTTAGCTTCAGGGAAGGCTTCTCTTTCCCTTTGTTACAACTTGTTGAGCTTTATATAAATTACGATGTTCCCTGAAAGATGCTAGGAAATGCTAATACAATTCAAGGAAAGTACCACAGAAATTTTTACTTAATTCTGATTTTAAACAGAGAAGAAAAATATAGAACCATCAACCCTAATGGGTTTTCCCTCAGAAGACAAGGGAGTTAAAACTTTTGAGAAAACATTTTATTCTTTCCTTATTATCTATCTTCTATTTTCCTCCCAAATTAGCCCCTCAACATTTTTTCTATTACAATTTCTTGTAGTATGAAAGTAACAACAAAAAACACAATTTTGCAGAAAAATATGTTATTCTGGCAACATTTTTCCCCACATCCTCATGAAGTTTAAAAACCACTGGACAAATCCACTTAAGCCCTAGATTCCAAGGGCATCTGGCTGGCTCAGTCAGAGAAGCATGCAACTCTTGATCCCGGGGTCATGAGGTCAAGCTTCATATTTAGTATAGAGTACTTAATAAATAAATATTAAAAAAAAAAAAGACTAGATTCCATATCTAATTCTGTCATTTAACAGCTGAGTGACCCTTAGCTTAGGTTCTCAAATGTAAACGAATACTAATTACCTTCCTGGTCTACTGATAGGATTAAATGGTAATGCTTTTTTAAAATGTTATTGTGATAGGGGCGCCTGGGTGGCTCAGTCGTTAGGCATCTGCCTTCGGCTCAGGTCACGATCCTCAGGTCAGGATCCAGCCCCGCAAGCCTGCTTCTCCCTCCCCCACTCCCCCTGCTTGTGTTCCCTCTCTCGCTGTGTCTCTCTCTGTCAAATAAATAAATAAAAAATCTTTAAAAAAATAAAATGTTGTGATAATTAACTATAATTAACATACAATAAATTACACATAAAGTATACAATTAGATACTTTTGCGATTTGTATATACCTATGAAACCATCACCACAATCAAGATAATAAATATATCCATCTCCCACAAAAAAGTATCCTTATCCTTTGTAATCCATCCCTACAGAGCCTCCCTCACCTCCTTCCTCTCTTATATCCAGGCAACCACTAATCTTTCTGTCATGATATGTTAGTTTGCTCTCCTAGAATTTTAAGATGTATGTATACAGTACATATTCTTGTTGTCTGGCTTCTTTCTCTCAGCATAACTGAGATTCATCCATATAGCAGCCTGTATCAACAGCTCATGTTTTTTTATTGCTGAAGAGTATTTGACCATATAGATATACCATAATTTGTTTATCCATTCATGATAGATACATGAGTCTTTTCCCATTTCTGGTTACTAGAAGAAAAGCTGCTAATACCACAATGAAATACCACTTCACACAGATAAGAATGGGTAGTATGCAAAAGACAAGAAATAATAAGTGTTGGTGAGAATGTGGAGAAAAGGGAATCCTCGTGCACTGTTGGTTTGAACGTAAATTAGTGCAACTACTGTGGAAAACAGGATGGAGGTTCCTCAAAAAATTAAAAATGGAAATACCATAGGATCCAGAAATTCCATACTGTGTATTTGCCCAAAGAAAATGAAAACACTAGGGTGCCTGGGTGGCTCAGCTGGTTAAGCGACTGCCTTCGGCTCAGGTCATGATCCTGGAGTCCCTGGATTGAGTCCCGCATCGGGCTCCCTGCTCAGCAGGGAGTCTGCTTTTCCCTCTGACCCTCCCCCCTCTCATGTACTCGCTCTCTCTCATTCTCTCTCTCTCAAATAAATAAATAAAATCTTTAAAAAAAAAAAAAGAAAAAAGAAAATGAAAACACTAATTTGAAAAGATATAAGCACCCCTACGTTTACTGCAGCATTATTTACAATAGCTGTGATATGGAAGCAGCCCGTGTCCGTCAAGAGATGAATGGATAAAGATGTGGCATACACACATACATACATACACACACACACACACACACTACAAAATGGAATATTACTCAGCCATAAAAATGAGATCATGTCCTTTGTGACAACATGGATGGACCTAGAAGTTAGTATGCTAAGTGAAATTAAGTCAAGAGAATGACAAATGCAACATAATTTCACTTATATATAGAATCTAAAAGACAAAACAAACAAAAACCAGCAACAGACTCATGAATACACAGAACAAGCTGGTGGTTGCTAAAGGGGTGGGGGAGGGGAGGATGGGCATAATAGGTGAAGGGGTTTAAGAGGTACAAATTTCCAGTCATAAGTTAAGTCCCGGAGGTGAAAAGTACAGCATAGGGAATATAGTTAATAATATTTTAATAACATTATATGGTGACAGATGGTAACTCCACTTATTGTGGTATCATGTAACAGATATAACTGTCAAATCACTATGCTTCCCATGTGAAAGTGATATAACATTGTATGTCAACTATACTTTGGTAATAAAAAATAAAAATTTTTAAAAACAGTTTTCAAAAGAAAGAAAAAAAACATCATGAGCATTTGTTTATAAGTCTTTGTATGAACACATATTTTCATTTCTCTTGGGTAAATACCTTGGAGTAGAATGGTGAATCACATGGTAGGCATACATTTAACTTTGAAGGAAACTACTATTTTCCAAAGCAATCGCACCACTTTATATTCTCACCAGCAGTATATGAGAACTCCAGCTTCTCCACATGCCTACCAACATTTGGTGTGGATAGTCTTTTTACCTGGTTTTAATTTGCAACTTCCCAGTAATAGTAGACAACTTTTCATGTGTTTAGCTGCCGCCTGTACACCTGCATTGGTGAAGTGTCTATTCAAATCTTTTGCTCATTTTTATTACTTTTTTTAAGATTTTATTTATTGGGGCGCCTGGATGCTTCAGTTGGTAAGTGTCTGCCTTGGGCTCAGGTCACGATCCCAGGACTCATGATCCCAGGGTCCTGGGATCGAGCCTTGCATTGGGCTCTCTGCTCAGCAGGGAGTCGGCTTCTCTCTCTCTCCCTCTGCCCCTTCTCCTTGCTCATTCTCTCTCTCTCTCAAAATCTCTCTAAGATTTTATTTATTTCAGAGAGAGGAAGAGAGCGAGCAAGCACAAGCAGGTGGAGGGGCAGAGGGAGAGGGAGAAACAGACTCACTGCTGAGCAGGGAGCCTGATGTGGGATTCAATCCCAGGACCCTGGGATCATGACCTGAGCTGAAGGCAGATGCTTAACCGACTCAGCCACCCAGGTGCCCCTTTTTTGCTCATCTTTTTTAAAGATTTTATTTATTTACTTGAGAGAGAGAGAGAAAGCACAAGCAGGGGAGAGGGGCAGATGGTGAGGAAGAAGCAGGCTCCCCCCCAAGCAGGGAGCCCAAGGTGGGGCTCAATCCCAGGACCTTGGGATCATGACCTGAGCAGAAGGCAGACACTTAACCAACTGAGCCACCCAGGTGCCCCTCTTTTGCTCATTTGTAAATTATTTTCTTATTAATGGGCAGAAGACATGAATAGACATGTTTTCCAAAGAAAACATCCAGATGGCTAACACACATGAAAAGATGCAAAATCACTCAATATCAGGCAAATACAAATCAAAACAAGATACCACCTCACACCTGTCAGAATGGCTAAAATTAACACAGGAAACAACAGATGTCAGCAAGGATGTGGAGAAAGGGAAACCCCCTTACACTGTTAGTGCAAACTGGTGCAGCCACTCTGGAAAACAGTATGGAGAGTCCTCAAAAAGTTAAAAATAGAACTACCTGATTATCCAGCAATTGCACTACTAGGTATTTACCCAAAGGATACAAAAATACAGATTCAAAGGGGCACATGCACTCCAATGTTTATAGCAGCATCATCAACAATAGCCAAACTATGGAAAGAGCCCAAATATCCATCAATTGGTGAATGGATAAAGAAGAGGTGCGCTCTATACACACACACACACACACACACACACACACACACACAATGGAATATTACTCAGCCATCAAAAAGAATGAAATCTTGTCATTTGCAATGACTTGGATGGAATGAGAGTATTATGCTAAGCGAAATCAGTCAGTCAGCAAAATGTAAGTATCATGATTTCAATCATATGTGGAATTTAAGAAGCAAAACAGATGACTATATGGGAAGGAAAAAAAGAGACGGGAAGCAAACCATATGACACTCCTAACGATACAGAACAAAGGGAGAGTTGATGGAAGGATGGGGATGGGCTAAATAAGTGATGGGTATTAAGGAGGGCACTTGTTATGATGATCACTGGGTGTTATACATAAGTGATTAATCACTAAATTCTGTTCCTGAAACTAATATTACACTGTATGTTAACTAGAATTTAAATAAAAATCTGAAAAATAAAAAATGAAATAAATAAAAATAAATTTTGAGTTTTGTGATTTTATTATATATTCCAGATATAAGATCTATGGTTTTTATCAGATAAAGGATTTGTAAATATTTTTCCAAGTCTGTGGCTTATCTTTTCATTCTCTCTTTTTTTTTAAGTAGACTCCATGCCCAATGTGGAACCCAAAGAGGGGCTTGAACTCACCACCCTGAGATCAAGCGTGAGCTGAGGTCAAGAGTCAGATGCTCAACCAACTGAGCCACCCAGATGCCACATATCTTTTCATTCTCTTAATAGTGTCCTTGGAAGAACAGAAGTTTTGGAGGAAGTGCAATTTAGTAATTTGCTCTTTTACAGATTGTGCTTCGGGTGTTAGGTAACTTAAAAAACCTTTGCCTAGGGCGCCTGGGTGGCTCAGTTGGTTAAGCGACTGCCTTCAGCTCAGGTCATGATCCCAGGGTCCTGGGATCGAGTCCCGCATCGGGCTCCCTGCTCTGCGGGGAGCCTGCTTCTCCCTCTCCCACTCCCCCTGCTTGTGTTCCCTCTCTCGCTGTGTCTCTCTCTGTCAAATAAATAAATAAAATCTTAAAAAAAAAAAAAAAAAAAAACCTTTGCCTAACTTTTTTTTAAAAGGGTTTGTTTCTAGAAACTTCATAGTTTAAAAAGTTTTAAATTTATATTTATGACCCATTCTGAGTTCATTTTTATACATGTTACAAGGTGTAGATCAAAGTTCTTTTGTTTGCTTTTGCATATGGCTATCCAAGTGTTTCAGCACATTGGTTGAAAAAGACCATCCTTTCTGCACCAAACTGCCTTCACACCTTTGTTGAAAATCATACACACACACACCCACCCCCACATACATCTATGTATCTATCTGTGAATCTATTTCTTAATTCATTATTCTGTTCCCCTCACCTATTCATCTTTATGCCAATACTATACTGTCTTAATTACTGTGGCTTATAGGAAGTCTTAAAATCAGGCAGTACCAGTATCCCAACAATGTTCTTCAATGGTACCATCTTAATCCAAGTTTTTTAAAAACCAGAAATGGCTATTTGAATGTTGGATATTATTATCATTTTTCTACTCTAGCCTCAGTAGTTGTTGAAGTAAACAGTAACCAAATTATAGAAACCTCAAAATCATTCTAAATAGCTGTATCTTTAAATATAAAATGGACTATGCATATCTAAAGACCTTTTTAGTCAAATCCAGATGCATAAATGATAAACATAACAATATTTAACATCCTTACCTGCAAACCATATTTTACTCGTATTTTCTTTAATTCTTTTCTCCTTTCCAACTCTTTTTCCTCCTTACTTAGCGTTGGACCAACTAAAAGGAAAAAGTTGAGTTTGGTTTAAAAAAAAAAATACTAAGTCTGACAGACTTTACACAAAATTAATATTGTTACTTAATAATAAAAAATTAATACTATTCCATCTGCATATTAACTAAAAGCTCAACTAAACATTAATATAAAGGAATCTTGGGTTGTGGTGATGTCCTTTCAGCATTTTGGTAAATAAATCTACTTGGAAAGTAAACCAAATCCCAAAGACTACAGGAATGCTACACTATAGATAACAAAAGAACACTGACCATCATCTTAATTTTTTGATATGATTATAACAGAATTTCAAATGCAGAAATACTGTTAATTTTCCAAAGTATTATAGGCATGTAAAAATCACTGAATCCAAGATTCACATTGCTGTGTAATGTACCATACTCATTTTCATAATCTAGTATCAGAAAACAAAAAATAAACAATGAACACATATAGTTGGTATTTGGGGGAAAAACTTGATGTAAAAAACATTAATTCTTACTGGTTCAAAGTATCTATTTAAAATTTAAAAGCCTCTGATGAGTGGATTTAAATAAGATAGCAACCTCTTACAGTGTTATTATAGAAAATAATGGTGTATATATATATACAGATGATATAGCAACAGAAGCTCTAAGTAGGAAAGCAAGCATATTGGGGTGCCTGGGTGGCTCAGTTAAGAATCTGCCTTCGGCTCAGGTCATGATTCCCAAGTCCTGGGATCAAGACCCACATTGGGCTCCCTGCTCAGCTGGGAGTCTGCCTCTCCCTCTCCCTCTGCCCCTCCCCCCGCTCAAGCTCACTCTCTCTCAAATAAGTAAAATCATTAAAAAAAAGAAAGAAAGCAAACATATCAACAAATAACTTTTATTACCCCAGCCTATTATTTTATATATTATTATATGACTGAGTTTAACCATGGATGACTTTTTCATATCCATAAACAGAAGTCAAAAGGAAACCAATCTTTACTATAATTATGTCACAATTACCCTTTTGAAGGACATTTAGCTATCACTGCTGTGCCGCTTCCAAAGTCTACTAAACTCTATTAGCAAAAACAGCTAATGATTACCTTATGGGTCAGAAAGCAACCTAATGCTATAATAGCACAACTAAATTGTTGCACAGAAAAATCAACTAAAATCGTAATCTACTAGCTTAAAAAAAATCAACTAAAATCATAAGCGACTAGCCTAGGTTTCAAATTTCAAATGCATGTCATTTCTTAGTCTCACGTAATAATATTTATCTCACATAATATTCACTAAAATAAAAATGTATCTCAATACAGTTTTATATCAATTAAATACGAAGCTGGTAGCTGATACTTTTTTAGAACACTCCAGTGAATTAAATAGAAAAGTTATCATGCCTACATATAACAATTATGTTTCACATACCAAAAGATTCATCTTTCTTATCAAGACGAAGGTGAGCTCGAACCTGTCCTGGTTCACAGCCGTCACAGGTATCACTGCCAGGGTGGATGTGAAAAGACAGTACAGTCTCTCCAATTTTCACTTCATCACCATGCTCAAGTACATAAGGATCACATTTAGTTTTAGGCTAAAGAAAAAAATTACAAAACAGAAACCCAAGAGAGTTATGTAAGATTATTTTATATCTACTGTAAGTAATGTCTGATTCAAACAAAAAAATATTTAGGATGGTTCTCAATGAGATAGACACACATATGCACACACAGTGCACATTTCCACAACTTGAGGATGATATAATGTTCAACTAGTGGAGAAGATACCTGCACTGAGCAACTTCTTTTATATTATCAAAACCCGCTAATCTCATCTCCATGCATAATCCTAGAGAAATACCCAACCCAAACATCAAACAATCTATTACCAAAATGAATAACCATCACAGTCAAAAAGATAAGTGTTAAGGGGCTAAGTGCATATTTCCCCTTTTTCCTCTTCTTTTCTGATAATTCAGTTTTATTTCATTTTTTATTCTTACAGACTAAGAATAAGGCCTCCCCCACTCCCTTCCATTTACTTTCTTCCATATGTTATGTGCCAAGCACCTTGCCAAATGTTGGTGATAAAAGAGTTAACTGGATAGACATAGGCCCTGTCTTCAAGGAGTATCCACTTTAGCAAAATTTCCATTAAAACAATTTTTAAAAGAACACAAAAAAAGGAGTGCCTTTTAAGTTACTATAAGAACCTTTGATTTGAATAGCTTTAAAATGCATTTACTTCTTTTTTATTATTTTTTTAATTTTTATTTTTTTTAAGATTTTTTTTTTATTTATTCATTCGACAGAGAGACACAGCGAGAGAGGGAACACAAGCGGGGAAGCGGGAGAGGGAGAAGCAGGCTTTCCGCCGAGCAGGGAGCCCGATGCAGGGCTCGATCCCAGGACCCTGGGATCATGACCTGAGCCGAAGGCAGATGCTTAACCGACTGAGCCACTCAGGCACCCCAAAATGCATTTACTTCTAAAATAAGGCATAGATACATAATTAGAAGATAACACTCAAGAGTTAAGTATCCACTTATTCTATACTTTTTTCAGTCCTTTCTGTGAATCCCCTTCCATGTAATACATTTGGGCTTGAATAGTAATCTGAAACAAATTATATGTATAATAACTATGGCCTTCAGAATAAAAATTTCAGTTCATTTTTTAAAACTTATGTGCAAGTAATTAATATATATATACTCACCTGAAGAATCTGTTTTCCATTAACAATTGTACCATTTTGACTACCTTGATCCACAAGGACATAACTTTGTAAGTCATGGTCAAAATAAATTTCTGCATGAAACTTAAAACAAAAAAAAAATAAAGAACGAGGTAATTATAAAGAATAATATTTTTTTAAACCACAGATAATTTCTATCATAGGATGTGAGACTTAAGTCTATGATAATTTAATTTTTATTATTTTATCTTTTTTTTTTTTTTTAAGTAAGCTCTACTCCTAATGTGGGGCTCAAACTCATGACCCCGAGATCAGGAGCTGCACGTTCTACCGACTAAGCCAGCCAAGTGCCCCAAATTTTACTATTTTTAATACCTTTTTTCCTGAATACAAAAGCATAACAATGCCTCTGGTAGAAATGTGAAGGCTACAGAAGAAAAAGTCACCTATAATTCCACCTACTACTGCCGTTAATAATTCAGTGTGTCTTACATTTTCTACTTTTACAATATAGCTGAGATTATACCATTTAGAACATTTGAAATTATTTTTTCACCTATTAAAAGTATTGGTCTTTATCATTAAAAATTCTTAATACAAAAGGTGACTTCAAACATTCAAGATGAACTTTTCCTTTTAAAGATTCTATTTTTTTAAAATAATCTCTATACCCAACATGGGGTTCAAACTTACAACCCCCAAGATCAAGAGTCGCATGCTCTACTGACTGAGCCAGCCAGGCGCCCCCAAAGGTGAACTTCTCAGAGAAGTGTTCCAGATTTTCAATACTCAGGACTAATCATTCCCTCCTTGTACTTTGTTTACATAACAATTACACTACACAAAGTTACTGCATATGTGATAGTTGCCGTATGGCTCACAATTACTGCTTGGTTGACATTTTTGCTTACCACTCAGTACATATAACAGAGAGCCTCACATATAATGGCATATACCCAGTACATGTCTATTTAATTGGATAAAGAACTGCAGACATTTAATTTATCATTTCATAAGTAATACACTGCTGGTGGGAATGTAAAACTGTGTACCTGCTTTAGAAGGGTATGGCAGTTCCTCAAAAGGTTAAACAGAGTTACCACAGGACCAGCAATTCTATATTTAGGTATATATCAAGAGTAATAAAAACATACATTCAAATACAAACTTGTACATGAATGTTCACCACAGCATTATTCTTAGCAGCCAAAAAGTGGAAACAATTCAAATGACAACCAACTGATAAACAAAATGTAGTATATCCATACACTGGCATTATTATTTGGCAATAAAAAGAAATGAAATACTGATATATGCTACAACATGAATGAATCTTGAAGACATACTAAGTGAAAAAGCTAGGTAAAAACAACTACATGTTATAGGATTCAATTTACAGAACATGTGCAGAACAGGCAAATCCACAGAAGATAAAAGTAGACTGTGGTTGCCTAGGCCTGTGGGAGTTAAAAGGAAATGAGGAGTGACTATTATGTTTCTTCTAATGGTGATGAAAATGTTCTGAAACTGTGCAGCCAAGTGGCTCAGTCGGTTAAGCATCTGCCTTCGGCTCAGGTCATGATCTTAGGGGTCCTGGGATCAAGCCCTTCATTGGGCTCCCTGCTCAGCGGGGAGTCTGCTTCTCCCTCTCCCTCTGCCCATCCTGCTCATGCTCTCTCACTCTCAAATAAATGAATAAAATCTTAAAAAAAAAAAAAAAAAAGGAAAATGTTCTGAAACTGACTGTGGTGATGGCTACACAACTCTATATAAAAAACCTTTGAATTACACACTTTCAATGCATAAATTGTATACAGGATATGGACTGTATCCCAATGAAGTTGTTCTTAAAAATTTTCATAAACAGGGGTGCCTGGGTGGCTCAGTCACTTAAGCATCTGCCTTTGGCTCAGGTCATGATCCCAGGGTCATGGGACTGAGCCCCAATTGGACTCCCTGCTCAGTGAGGAGCCTGCTTCTCCCCCTATTTGTGCTCTCTCTGTCAAATAAATAAATAAAACCTTTGAAAAAAAGAAAAAAAATTTCTCATAAACTAATTATAAAGTGTTCCAAACACACAAAAGAATACACTGAACTGGTCTACCCATGACACAGCTTTAATAAATTTTGCCTTATTTGACCCAGGTATTTATTTTTTAGATTTTAGTTTATTTATTTCAGAGAGAGAGGGTAGGAGTGGGGAAGGGGCAGAGGGAGAGGAGAGACAGAATCCCCAGCAGATTCCATGCTGAGCATGGAGCCCAACATGGGGCTCGATCTCAAGACCCTGAGATCATGACCTAAGCTAAAATCAAGAGTCAGGCACTTAACGGACTGAGCCACTCAGGCCCCCTTGCCTCAGATATTTAAAAGAAAAATTATTATTCATGGATGTATAACTCATTCTGTCCATCCCACACCCTTTCTTTTCAACGGTTCAATATTTAATCATGATGCCTCTATTACTTTCACCCCGTATGTATGCATCCATAAACAATTCATGGTTATTTTGCTTTAAACTTGACATAATGGGAATTACACTGTATGAATATTTTCTTGAGATGTAATTCATATACAGAAAATTCACAGGTCTTACATTTATAGTTTGATAAGTTCTGACAAACATATGCTACCGTATGTATTTCTTTTATTTTGCTTCTTTGGCTTAATATTATATTGTGAGGTACATCCAGTTGTGTACAGTTTTGCCATTTTGCTGAATGGTAAAACTCACTGTACGGATTCTTCAACATATTCTGATGATGAACATCCAGTTTTTTCCCCCAAGGTTTTACTATTTTTTAAGATGCTTCTATCAACATTCTTATACATGCAACATTCCTGTAGACAATGCAAGGATTTTTCAGGAGTATATTCTTAATAATGAAAGTGCTAAGTCACAGTATGTGCAAATCTTAAACTTTATTAGATACTGCCATATTGTTTTCCAAAGTAGTTGTACCAACTTATATTCCCAAAAGCAAACTATAAGAATTCTTGTTGCCAAGAATATAGTCTTAACCAATATTTGCTATTGTCGGAATCTTCAGTTTTTGCAAGCATAAAAGGTATGAAATTAAATCTCATTATCGTGATTTTAATTTGCATTTCCTCAATTACTACGAAGACTGAAACCTTATATTTTTTAGCCATATGGATTTCCTCTTCTGTATATTTTCTCTTCATGTCCTTCATTCATTTTTTTTCAACTGGGTTCTTTAGAATACTAACAACTATACCAAAGCATTTAAATAGTTTCAAGTCTTTCGACTTGAAACCTTATTCCAAAGAGCTGTTCTAAATTATGCTCCCAACAGGAGTGAAATTTAATAAATATGACAAATGAAAACTGACATTTTGACTTCATTTGTATTTCTTAAAATTTTTAGAAAGATTGAATGGTTTTCACATAGTAATGATATCCCCTGCATTGTGAATTGTTTATTTATAGCCTTTGCTCACTTATCTATTAGTGCTCACAGTGGGGTTTGAAAAAAATGAATTTGTATGAGATTTTAAAACATAAAAGATATACATTTTGTCATATTTGTCTTACTGTCCTAGTCTGCCTTTTTTAATTATTATTAAGTAAACCCTACCTCCAACATGGAACTCAAACTCACAACCTTGAGATCAAGAGTTTCACATTCTTCCAACTCAGCCAGCTAGGTGCCCCACGTAATCTGCCTTTTAAATTTGTTTAACATGACAAGAACTTAAAATTACTCAAAATTATGTCTTCTCTGATTTTTTCTCATTTTTTTTAAACTTAGGAGGTCTTCCCCTATCCAGTGACAGATTCCATTTTCCCCAAATATTAATATGAAGTGTCCAGCGTTTTTTATTTAATTTTTTTCATCTATCTGGATATGTGTAATATATATTGTCAAAATGATTTCATACAGTAACAAACCATTTACCCCACCAGTGAATATCTTAGTTTTAAAGAAAGAAAGAGCAGAAATGCCACTACAGAACTACCTATATTTTAGATTGAATTGCTATTTAAATCACAGAGTGGGTTTTCTTTGGAGGCAGAAGGGTCATAGTAAAGTAAAAAAGCAAGATAATTTGGTCAGAGTTAAGATTATGAAAATTTCCTCCCTTCTGAATGAGTTGAAACAAAGTAAAAATAAGTGGACTTTCAAACTATAATGGAAAACAAATTTCATCCTCAAAAGACAAAAATCACATAAAATGTATACTTTAGATCCATATTATAATCTATTAAATAGAAACAAATGGGGATGATGAAAGGTCAGAAAAAGATAACCAGCATGGAAGAGAGGGAAAAACTACAGAAAATACAGTAAAGACAAGGAAAACTAGCAAATATAGAGTATCAGTAGCAAAACCTTTTGTTTTTCTACTTGTAACTAAAGTTGCACCGCTGCTTTGTTTGTTTTAAAAACCCAAGTAGGGCGCCTGGGTGGCTCAGTTGGTTGAGCAACTGCCTTCGGCTCAGGTCATGATCCTGGAGTCCCGGGATCGAGTCCCGCATCGGGCTCTCTGCTCAGCAGGGAGTCTGCTTCTCCCTCTGACCCTCCTCCCTCTCATGCTGTCTCTCATTCTCGCTCTCAAATAAATAAAATATTTAAAAACAAAAAAAAAACCCAAGTATTCTTTTTCCTGAAACCATCAGAGGAGCAACTAGGAAAAGCTATAAAAGCCTTGGGTGGTAGAGGACAAATAGTTCTTGAGTTGTAATATACTCTGGACTCAACAGTAACCATCTAATAAAATAGCCTGAATCCAGGTCTGATTCATTTTTGAACGACCATATCAAGAACATTTAGTTCACTCAATAAATATTTGTTAAATGGGTATTATTTTAATACTTAATCTACATTTCTATTCCTGCTCCAGACTGTTAAAAATTAAACATCATTTAGTTTACTCTAATTTTGATAAAGAATTATTCTCGCAAGCAGTGGAATAAACAAATCTGAATTGCTTTCATTTCCATTAATACCTGGACTATTAAACTTTCTACTAAATAAAAAAGCCCCTAAGCTTCCTGTCATAATGAGGGTTTATAAAATAGTATCTAGGGCGCTATATTTGAAAAATCAAAGAACTTACCTTACTAACACCAACTTCAGGGATTCGGAGAGTATGCTCCATATCTTTTTCTCTGCAGGGTTAAGTAAAGTGTCTTTAATAATTTTTGAACCATATATAGATTAAACACAGTTAACACAGAAACGATATTTTTTAAGATTTTTGTCGTCGTTGTTTTAAAAGAAAATGTTAAAATCCAAGTCCCTCTATCACACTTAAGTCATTTCCTTAATCCTACTCTAAATTTCCTATTTGAAAGAAGTTCCAGGATTACTTTTATTTTTTGATACATCTACCCGAGGTTAATAATAGACATCTAGGGGTGCCTGGGTGGCTCAGTCAGTTAAGAGTTCAACTCTTGTTTTCCACTCATCATGAGATCGAGCCCCAAGTCAGGCTCCATGCTCAGTGCAGAGTCTGCTTGAGATTCTCTCCCTCTGCCCCATACTCACATGCTGTCTCCCTCTCTAAATAAAAATCTTTATAAAAAAAATAATAAACATCCAGAACAGCATATCCTTTGTACTAACATCAATCATTCGAGATCTGTTGACTACATTCCAGCTTCTATTACTATATGTAAAAGGACCATACTATTCTTCAAGAATTTAAAACTAAGATTTTGTACAGAATATGAATTAAGGATGGATTTTCTTTCCCACTGGGAAGTAATGAAATTATCCTACTCATGATTAAAACCTACCTCTCTACCAAGCTGGTTATGAATTACAAAGGGGTAAAAGAAACAGAGGAAGGGGATTAAATACTGGACAAACATGGATTTAATGAAGGAATTTAAACCAGAAACAGCAGTACAAAAAGGATGAAAATGACAAAATTTCTGTGACAGAGATAAGGGTCAACAATATTTTCTGAGTGGGAGAGGGAGGAACATGGATGTCATTCAGTGTTTGCCTATTCAACAAGTACCATGCACATTTTATAACTGGTTGAGGAATATACAATCCATTGGAGTAAGATAAATACACAAACATAATAACATTAAACATTTTTACCTTCCAATTGTAGCAGGGTTTACAGCTGTAATGATAAAAAGTGATCCTGTCTGCAATACTGGTGATCTAATAACAATTACTCTAATACATGGGGGCCAAATTTTTTCTTCATCTGTTAAAGAAAGAAATGTGTAAGTATTAATTCAAATGCTATGGAAAAAATTTCTAGGCAGGAATAGGAAGCATCCATAAAGTAAAACGTATTGAGGAGTGCCTGGGTGGCTCAATCAGTTTAGCATCTGACTCTTGATTTTGGCTCAGGTTGTGATGTCAGGGTCATAAGATTGAGCCCTGTGTAGGACCCCACATTCAGCACAGAGTCTGCTTGTCCCTCTCCCTCTGCTCCTCCCCACACCCCCGCTCGCGTGCTTCTCTCTTGCTCAAATAAAAATCTTTAAAATAAAAAAAGTACTAATCAAAAATTTTAATTATTTGAAACAACTTTCTTAAATTCTGCTATATGACATACTTGATAAGGCTTTAACACTTACCAATTTAAAGTGATCAACCTAAAGATATTCAGGGTCTATCACAATTACAATATAAACAATTCTCTTTTTTAAGGTGTTGGAATTTGAAAATATCCTCAACAGGAATTTTTATATTAACTTAGAAAAACTGAGTCCTGCTTTAAAAATAAAAGTGAGAGAAACTGCATCGAGAACAAAATAAGCTCATATAACCTAATATAAAATCCTGGGCTTTAAAAGTATGTCTTTATAACCTCAAATTTAAAAAATATAAGATTTGGGGTGCCTGGGTGGCATAGTCAGTTGAGCACCTGACTCTTGTTTCAGCCCAGGTCATGATCTCAGAGTTGGGAGATCAAGCCCTGCATCAGGCTCCACACTCTGTGGGATCTGCTCCAGATTCTCTCTCTCCCTTCTGCCCCTCTCCCTGCTCTCTCTTTCTCTAAAATAAATATATATATATATTTTTTTAACTTTTTATTTTTTATTTTTATTTTTTTATTGTTATGTTAATCCCCATACATTACATCATTAGTTTTAGATGTAGTGTTCCATGATTGTTTGTGCGTAACACCCAGTGCTCCATGCAGAACGTGCCCTCCTCAATACCCATCACCAGGCTAACCCATCCTCCCACCCCCCTCCCCTGTAGAACCCTCAGTTTGTTTTTCAGAGTCCATTGTCTCTCATGGTTTGTCTACCCCTCCGATTTCCCCCCCTTCATTCTTCCCCTCCTGCTATCTTCTTAAATATATATTTTTTAAATATAAGATTTACCATAATACCTACGTAGCTGAATTCATGGACTACACTTTTTTCTTTTCTTAGATTTTATTTATTTGACAGAGAGAGAGAGAGAGAGCACAAGCAGGGGGAGCAGCAGAGGGAAAGGGAGAAGCAAGCTCCCCACTGAGCAGGGAGCCCACTTAACCGACTGAGCCACTCAGGCGCCCCTGGACTACACTTTTTAAAGGCAACTTATTTTTTCCCTTCCTACAAAAGTAGACTACAAATATCTAACCCACCAAGATAGCCTTAGTATATACTTTAGAACGTATGTAACTTGGTTTTGTTCTACTGACTAGGCCATTCAATGCAATAAAATTTTAAGGTCCAACTATTAGTCATTTATTCAAATTCTTCCCTCTAAAAATAACCATAATGGTACTGAAGACCACTTTGTTGGTAGCTCACATAATTTTCAAGAATGTTATTAAAATAATCAGTTTAGGGGCGCGTGGGTGGCTCAGTTGTTAAGCATCTGCCTTCAGCTTAGGTCATGATCCCAGGGTCCTGGGATCAAGCCCCGCATCGGGCTCCCTGCTCAGTGGGAAGCCTGCTTCTCCCTCTCCCCATTTGTGTTCCCTTTCTCGCTATGTCTCTCTCTGTCAAATAAATAAAATATCAAAAAAATATATATATATACACACATATAAAAAATAATCAGTTTAAAACAGTCCGTTTATTTTTTGGCAAATACGTATTAACATTTTTAACTCTGTTGCTCTTTTACAATGACTAGACTGGGTTATTTACAGAAAATCAAACAATAGTTATTTACTTACCTTCGTCCTCACTATCTTCTGCAGTTACATTGTCTTCACTGGTAATGTCTTCATCATAACTGTCCTCTGTCTGAGAGTCTGTAATTTCACCTTCTTCTGGCTCACTATCAGTCTCCATGACTTTCTCATCTTTAAATGACGTCGAATTATAAATGTTTTCATTAAGAGAAGATTCTGTAATCTTTCTGCTAACTGGAACAGTAAATTTGGGGGGACTATTTTTGTAATGAATGTCTATTTTGGCCTTCTTTTTCATATTTGCAAAATCTTCTCCCTCACTGCAGCTTTTATGTTCAACACTGGATGTTTTTTGATCTTCTGAAGTCAAATCCTAGAAAGACATAGGTGGGGAGGTGGGAACAGGGGAAAATACCTTAAACATGACCATCTTCTAACGTTTAATGCTAAATATTTCAGAGAATTAGTGAAGATATATGTACAACATTATATATGAAATACCAATAGCTATTACCTATAACCCCCTCTTCCTCTCATGTTCTCTTTCTTACTTAATGACATTACCCATCCTCTTATCACCCAAATCAACAATCTTATAGTTATCTTTGACGTCCCCTTAACTACCACATGGAATCCATTTCCAAGTGCTATAGACTGTTTACACCTTATCCCAATTCTCCTTATCTATTCCCTAACTGTCCCAGTCCAGGCCCTTATCACATATTGCTTGAACCATGCGACAGCCTAGACCACTTCTGTCCATGTCCAACAAAAATACAATGCAAGCCATATACATCTATCTATCTATCTATCTATCTATACTTTAAAATGTCCTAGTAACCACATTAAAAAGGTAAAAGCAGGTGAAATTCCTTTTATCTATCCAGTATTTACAAAATATTATCTTTTATTATATATAAATAACATGTAATCACTATAACACTATTAATGAAATATTTTACATGGATTTTCTGTACTTCAAGACTTTGTCTTCAAAACTGAGTATACTGTAGTTCATACTTAACAAAACACCATAATTAGGACGAGCCTCATTTCAAGTGCTCAACAGCCATATGAGGCTAGTGGCTGGCTACTTTATTGGACAGTGCAAGCCTAGAGAATATATTTACCCTAAATTTTCTTTTTGAACTTCTAACCAATAATCAAGTCAAAACACATAAAGTACAGAATCAGCTTTAATTACAACAGCAATTTAAAGATCCAGATGTAGGACGCCTGGTGGGTCAGTCGGTTAAGCATCCAACTCTTGGTTTTGGCTCAGGTCATGATCTCATGGACTGTGGGATCGAGCCCCAAGTTGGGCTCCACGCCCAGCATCTCTCCCTTTGCCTCTCCCCTGACTTAGGCACACACACATGCGTGCTCTCTCTCTCAAATAAATAAATCTTTAAAAAAAATTTTAAAAAGATCCAGATGTACCTAATGTAGCAGAGCTACAGGTTCACTAACATTTAGTACTTTCATATAGTTGGTCTGATTATACAAAACAGTTTAAAGTATAGATGAATCTGTTATATCTCTTTTATTCTAAAATTCCAAATTAGCAGGCATAAACCTTTTATTATTTATTATACGTGTATAGTGGGCATACCTTATGATAAATAAACAAATCTATTATTTTAAACTTAAAAGAATCAGTTATTTTCCTTTGGTTTGTAACATACTCTGAATTTTCTTTCTACCTAAAGCAACATGATGGAAGTGAATTCATATGGTCTTCTGTTATTTTATAAAATATGAGAGCATCTTAAACACGTATTTTTAACAGTAACATAAATTCGGTTTGGAGACCAGCTAAACACTCACAGTATGATAAACTATATACACTCCCAGCAATACAAACTCATCAAAGGCAAGAACAAGGACAACAAGCTGAAAAACTATGAGAAGCTTTAAAGGCCACTGTGAATTATAGCCAAAAATTTCTATCTATATATACTTAAAAAAAAAAAAAGCAGTTTCCAATCCTGTATATTTTATTATTATTACTGCTTATAGGAAAACATATGTAGAGTGGGAATGAGTGAAAATGTCAGAGGTGCTATTCTTAAAAACCATCTACCAGTCCAGAATGTTGGATAAATATTCATTAAGAGATAAGAATGGAGGCCTACATGTGGACATTGAGGCATATATGCATATTTCAAGTTATTTATGCCAATTTCTTTCCACCATACCCCCACTCGCAAAGAGTGAGGCTCAAGAGTATCTTAATAAAAAAAAAAAAAAAGATGAGGATGTCTTAAATGGTCTCCCATGCTTCATAGCTACCTTTAAGAATCTTTGGGGAATTCTCAAAATCCTATCAGAATTGTTTTTAAGTTCCTATCCTAGAGTTCACACATTTTTGAAGAAGGATGGTAAAGAAGAGCAGTTATGGGAGCTAAAATCTCACAAAACACTTTCAAATTTCATTCTCTAGTTTGTCAGGAAAAGTCATTTAAGGACCCTCTATGTTCTTATTTATTGTTAGAAGGAAGTACTTTCAAAACCTATCCTTTCAAATAGTTCAACTACTAACAACAGGTAGAAATCATTAAAACAGGGGCACCTGGGTGGCTCAGTCGGTTAAGCGGCTGCCTTCGGCTCGGGTCATGATCCCAGAGTCCTGGGATCGAGCCCCACGTCGGGCTCCTTGCTCAGTGGAGAGCCTGCTTCTCCCTCTCCCTCTGCCTGCCTCTCTGCCTACTTGTGCTCTCTCTCTCTCTGTCAAATAAATAAATAAAATCTTAAAAAAAAAAAAAAAGAGCCCAGGGTTATGTATTTAAAAAAAAAAAATCATTAAAACAGAGGTCTTGAAAGCAAACAGAAAAATCATTTTTACTATTTAGTCACATTCTCTTTTATTCCTAGGTACATAAGTGAAAATAAGAGAAATACAAACAAATCAAATAGAGAAAGTAAATCCAAAGGAAACCTAATTCCATATGTGAACTTTAGTATTATACATTAAAAAACTTTTCTCTTTGGTTAAGAGAAAAACATTAGATAAAATTTTAAGAGTGAAGTATCTAGTAGTTGCCACAATTCACAAAATGCCAATATAACAAATAAGCCTCCTTTCCTGCATATAAACCACCAACCTTATCTGTCTGGGGAATACACATAAGAGCACTGGTAACGTTTTTTATATTTTCCTTCTTTAAATTTAACCTTGTATCAGAAGCATTTTTCAAATTCCCCCCATCTTTATGAATTACCATTTTAAGGCCTAAAGAACGCTTTTCAATTAAACATACTATCATTTTCTTAACCAATATCTTGCAGGCCATTTGAACTCTTAATTTTTTTCTGTTCTTAAAAACATTGCTATATAACTACACAAAGGCATTTTTCTTTCTTTGGATTTTTTTAAAAGATTTTATTTATTTATTTGAGAGACGGAGACAGAGCACACACATGCACAAACATGAGCAAGGAAAGGGGCAGAAGGAGACAGAGAATCCCAAGCTGACTCCATGCTGAGCACAGAGCCCAATATGGGGCTAGATCTCACAACCCCAAGATCATGACCTAAGCTGAAATCAAGAGTCGGACGCTCAACCGACTGAGCCACCAGACACCCCTCTTAGGATTTTTAAAAATATTACCTGAAATGAGATTTTCCACTTAAAGAATATTAACATTTTTACGGTTATTGATAGAAATGGCCAATCTATTTTCCCAAAAGACACCAAGGGCACCTGGGTGTCTGAGTCGGTTGAGCCACCAACTCTTGGTTTTGGCTCAGGTCATGATCTCAGTGTTGTGGGATCAAGATCTGCATCGGGGTCCCCACAATATGGGAAGTCTGCTTGAGGATTCCCTCTTCTCCCTCTGCCTCTCCCCCTGCTCTCTCGCTCTAAAATAAATCAATCCTTAAAAAAAAAAAGACACCAATTTCCACTTCTAATAAATACATACATATCCTATATTTGCTAGCAACTGATTTAATGTTTCCTAACATAATAGGTAAGAATTGCTCAACATGACTAAGAAGCAGAACTTTTATCTATGTCTACTTACAATCTGTGCTTTTATTGTGAATTGTGCAATAACATCAACTTATTTTATTTTTAGATTTTATTTATTTATTTGAGAGAGCAAGTGAGGGACAGAGAGCACAGAGGGAGAGGGAGAAGTAGACTCCCCGATGAGCAGAGAGCCTCACGCAGGGCTTGATCCCAGGACCCCAAGATCATGACCCGAGTCAAAGGCAGACCCTTAACTGACTGAGCCACCAGGCGCCCCAACAACAACTTATTGGTTGAGGGTCTGACTGTTCTTCTTCCAAATTATGTAACACATGAGTATTTTATCCACCCTAAATCTACCTCCTTCAAACTTTAAGGAATTCCTTTTATTTCTAATGACGAAAAATTTGTGAAAAAGTCCATCCGTGCCCCCTGTGAATGCTCCTTGGTTGATAGATTCTGATATCTTAATCGATATGTTTGAAATACAGTTACTAAATGATGATTTTCAGTTTCATCAAAAACTGACATAATTATATCATCAAGTAAATTTTTAAAATTATGAAGACATTACCTTTTCCTCATTTGTTACAGAAGAATCTGGATCCTTTCTTTTCTTCTTCAATTTTTTATCCTTACTTTGTTTTGTGCCACATGTTTGATAAGGCTGCAAATCAACTCGAGAATGAAATTGATAGCGACCACTTTCCACATCACAGTAGTAATAAATCCCAGTGGAAGGATCATAATATAGTTGATTTTCCTTTCAAAGTCAAGAAAACGGTAAGTTCTAGTCAGGTACGATGAAATAAAATAAAAAAATAAACTTAATAGCAATGCCAAATATATTCAAAAATAGTCAATGTTTCTTTAAGAACTCTATTTTCTGAAGATAATGAGTAAAGATGACAGAATGAAAAATGCTCCTAAGTTTCCAAAATACTTTACCATTCAATATTTGCTCTAATTTTCCTACTACAAAAAATGAATAATTTAAATATTAAATTGAATCTCAAGAAACTGCCAATATTTAATCATTTTCATACTTAGAGAAGCAGCAATTTCGTATGGTTCAACTTAATACATTAATGAAAATGATTACAAAAAACCTTTCAGAAGTCATGAAAACTAAGGCATGCATCAGAAAAAGCTGACCATAGAAAAAGTAATTCCAGACTCATTATCCTTATGATTACACAATAATGGTTTGGTATAAACTCCCCCAACCCTCCTTTCAGTGTCATAAAACCAATACTTGCTTTTTAGTGTTCATGACTAAAAGCCCTGAAGAAAAATTCAAAAATAAAATTAAGCTCAGAGATATGACATTTTATATAAAGAAACTGATAAACAACTGTCTTCATTAATTAGTTCTACTGTAAGTAATTAAATAAGTAAAAGAACCATGCAAAAAATGAATTTTGGCAAATTATGGATAAAAACCAGAAAGATAAAAAATTATGTAGTCGTCTGTATTTATTAGATACTGGCCCATACTCTATAAATAAGATTCAATTCAACAGTGTATATTTTATTTACATTATAAATCGATGCAGATAAGATATGGAAATGTCTTATGATATACTAAGGTTAAACAACTAAAACTGCCTGGAAAAGAATATTTTTCTGTGGTATTACTGCATTTATTGTCTTTAGTTCACGTTACAGATCTCTTACAAAAATATTTAGAATTCAGGGGCGCCTCGGTGGCTCAGTCGTTAAGCGTCTGAGCGTCCCAGGGTCCTGGGATCGAGCCCCACATTGGGCTCCCTGCTCGGCCGGGAAGCCTGCTTCTCCCTCTCCCACTCCCCCTGCTTGTATTCCCTCTCTCACTGTGTCTCTGTCAAATAAATAAATAAAAATCTTAAAAAAAAAAAAATTTAGAATTCAATCTTTTCCATAATTAAAAAACTGAACGGAAGCTTTCTAATCTTTATTACCAGTGATAATAAAACTTTCACAACTCAAACTTGTTTTTATCTCTTATGTCTTTCAGTCTAAAACACATTTTCAAAAATTTAAGAAAAACTATTTAATTACACTAAAATGAAAACTAGTACAATAAAAAGGGCAAAACAATGAAGTCCCTACTTTACTGAAACATATAACCAACAGAATATAGCTAACCATTTACAGAAGAGATGTCAGGAGGAAAGCTACAGAAAGGAAGGTAGAAGAATGATGAAGACTAACATCATATACTTGTGAACTCTGTATTTTCCTCAAAACCAAACAAGTAATAGCTAGTCTCTTCGGTAATAAGAGTTTAAACATTAAGTTCCTGGGTACTGATTAGCATGGTCAATTAGCATACTCCTGTGAAAGAAAATTCTCTCTTTATAAGGGATTTAGAAAGTATACCAAGTACAAACCAACAAGGTAATGAAATCCTTTTTTAACTAAGATATTTAGTATTATCATTATATTCCCTAGATTAGTTAACAATAGTTCCAGTGACTGGAATGGTGAAAATCTGCTTCACTTTTGGGTACTACATTCTATAATTTCTGAGGACCAGATCACATTCCTAGACCACTAAGGCTGAGGTATATAGGTATGTAAGTTCCATTGTCATTGTCATCAAATCCTGAATGAAATACAATTAAGTACCAGATGTCAACAGCCGTAACACTGAATTATAAATCAAGAACTTTATTTTTAGGTTCTGTCCTAGTTAGTGGTCCATTACATGTCTGATTCCACACAAATTCCCTAGTTCTCAGTCCTAACATTGATTTTTTTTTAAGTGAAATGCTTAAAAGCCACAGAACTTTTAAACTAATAATAAACATACTATTGAGAATTCAAAAAAAAGATTTCCTCTAGAGCTCGAATGGATCCATAAGTACTTGAAACAATTTTTAAAAACTTCACACCAAGCCTAGAATTAACAATGTCACTTCCTTAAAATTCTATGAAAAAATGTTCGTTTAAGTTCTTAAACACTTTACAACAATGTAGTTAACTGTCTGCTTTTATTAATAAATGCTCTAACATTTTTGTGTGTTACTTTACATATAAAACATTAGGTCTTTCTTAAGTATAAGAAATACTTATACAATCACAATTAACTTATTTTATTAAAAACAGAAATGTAACATCATAAGCTATTTTACAACTCTTTACTCATGTCAAATAGCTTTGAATCAAATAAAATTTTTCAATGCAGTTTCTTGCTTTTCTTAATTCAGCTTAGGGTTTAATACTTGGTATCAAGCAGCAAGTATACAACCATACAACAATAAACAGTCCAAGATACTTACAGAATCATAATAGAAACCAGTGCTGTGATCAAAATACAGTCCAGTGTTCTCATCATAACTAAATCCAGTCTGAGACACAGCAGCTTCTGCTGCAGCTCTCAAACTTTCAGCTAATGAAGAACCTTCTAAGGATGTATCTTCTGCTGCTAATACAGATGCTGGCTCCTAGGTAAGATACATTCATGTCAAATAAGACAAAAACTTCCTTTTATCACTTTAAAAGTTAGCCGAATTAGAACAATAAATAGACTTAAAACAATTTTAAACAATAAGGCTTCAATTTCTGCAATGGAAAGAGATGGCTATCAACTGCAGTTTGGTTCACCTCAAAAAACAGTTACTAGTTGTTTAGTTAATTCAATTTTAACCTAGTTTTGAAGATATTAAAGTGAGTGTGTGACCATTACTCAAAAACAGATGCCTGATACCATAAGATAGTTATCTACAAAATACAGACTCTGAAATACTCTAAGAATAATTACAGGTTCAAAGGGAAAAAAATTTGAAAAAGAGAGATGGAGGAAAAAGCTATAGATAATGTGAGATATCACACACCAAGAAGTTATACTGGATCTTAGGATCCTGGAATTACTGGGATCCTGCTTCAAACAAATTAAAGAAAAAAAATTTATATGACACTCAGGCAACAGTGGCAAGATATCTGACATAAAGTAAGCATTAAAAATATTTTAATGTGGGGGCACCAGGCTGGCTTAGTCAGTGGAGCGTGAGACTCTTAATCTTGGGGTTGTGAGTTTGAGCCCCATGTTGGATGGAGAGATTACTAAAAAATAAAATCTTTAAAAAAAAAATTAGTATGAACATGATATTGTGGCTGTTGCCCAAATTTTTTGATTGAGTGAAAATACAGTGACAAATTTTCTTTTAGTTTATGTACATCATTAATTTTTAGAACAGAGTAGAAAAACAATTACACATATTAATAAATGCTAATTTTTGTTTCTTAAAAACTGTAATATTCACTGTATCATTACACATAGAATGTTTATAAACCTTGTATACATTATAATGGACTAAAGAAGTCTCTTTTTCTATATAACAACAAATGATACATTTTGGGCATCAAGAGTTTATGTTAAGCATCTCATTACCTGTGAATCTGAATTTGAGGCAAAATGGTCCTCTTCTGCACATTTAACATGTTCTGTTATAGCAGTACCAGTGTAAGCATCATTTTCTATTTGTGACTGGTCTTCAGAATTAAAAGTAGAAGCTTCGATATCCTGATCTTGCTGAACTGAGAGTTCAGCCACTTTATTTGGAAGACTAACATCCTTATAGTATGTCTGATAATAATAATCTGTAGCAAAAGCAAATTAGGTGATATCATATTAGAAAAATGTACATAAGGAGAAGTTAATTCCAAACCACCAGCACTGAACATAAAACAGCACAGAATGCTAACATGTATTTTTACAGCAGTATACAATTTAACGATTAAATGGATGGTGCAGATAAATTGACAGAAGTATATATCTTTGATTCTAATGTCATCTTCAGTACCCTCGCTATCAAAATAAAGGTTAAAAAAAGGTAGATTTGGATTTTTCATAGCAAGAATAAAAAAAGAAAACAGGTAAATAGGTTTTGTTCTGTCAAAAAAAACAACAAAAAAAGAGCAACTCTCAATCACATACTACCTGAATACTGTTGCATTATCAAATGACAATGGAAATAAAGATCAAGAGTTGTGGGGCGCCTGGGTGGCTCAGTCGTTAAGTGTCTGCCTTTGGCTCAGCTCATAATCCCAGGGTCCTGGGATTGAGCCCCACATCAGGCTCCCTGCTCCGCGGGAAGCCTGCTTCTCCCTCTCCCACTCCCCCTGCTTGTATTCCCTCTCTCGCTGTGTCTCTCTCTGTCAAATAAATAAATAAAATCTTTAAAAAAAAAAGTCCAAGGGTTGTTTTTACTGTCATATTTCTCTCATAATGATGACTTAAAAAAAAATATATCGGCGCCTGGGTGGCTCAGTCGTTAAACGTCTGCCTTCGGCTCAGGTCATGATCCCAGGGTCCTGGGATCGAGCCCCGCATCGGGCTCCCCGCTACGCGGGAAGCCTGCTTCTCCCTCTCCCACTCCCCCTGCTTGTGTTCCTGCTCTCGCTGTGTCTCTCTCTGTCAAATAAATAAACAAAATCTTTAAAAATATATATATATATATCATAGAGGGCACCTGGGTGGCTCAGTCATTAAGTGTTTGCCTTCGGCTCAGGTCATGATCCCAGGGTCCTGGGATCAAGCCCCACATTGGGCTCCCTGCTCACCGGGAAGCCTGCTTCCCTGCTTCTCCCTCTCCCCCACCTGCCCCCCAACCCCCCACCGGCTTGTGTTCCCTCTCTCACTGTCTCTCTGTCAAATAAATGAATAAAATCTTTAAAAAATAAATAAATAAAATATACCATACAAATATGTAATGTTCATACCGATGCTGCGTTTAACAATTTAGTTAAATTGTTACTGAATAAAACAAGGCAAAACTTAATGGAAAGATCGTTTCTTCTGATCCCTATTTATTAAAACTCAGTTCCTCAGTTATTTTGCCTCACAATGTCACTCATGAGGTAATGGCTGTGAGTTCATCACTCCCATAAGGGCCTAAGACACTGACACTGAACACAATGCTAAGTGGAATGCATCAACAAGAAAATACATGTGCCTGGTCTCAAGGAAGGCCAGACACGAGTAAATGGTTCACAGCACAGCAAACATTAATGTGCCACCAAAAACACATTAGCATTATTATATAGAATGACATTTCTGTTTTCCCACCAGAAGAACATAGAGATCATCTGAAAATACCAAATCATATGAGAAGTCCACATAACAGTTCTCAGATCTAGATGTATGTCTACTTTAAATTTTTAAAAAACTCCAACTTAGCATGATGTGAATGTAACAGCACTAAGATATCTTCACTACAAGCCGAATACCTGAGACTGCCCAAGAGGGGTGGTTCTCTGTTTGAACTTCTACATCAGACTTCTTATTGTCTTCATTTCTCCCACAATGGAGTATTTTACTGAGCTCTTCTACCTAAAAGAAAACACAGCTTTAGGAAATTAAATCATTTAGCAATCTAATAATATACACATCATTCTCCTGAAATTACAATAATTATTTTTCTTGGTTGAAGTTTTAGTACCAAAGCAGCTAGTTTCCTTTTCAGAAAAATTAAAAATACTATAATTAACTTTCTTTCACCTTTCACATTTGTAGAAGGAAATGTTTTTACTCTTATACTCTCTTGCTAAACCTTAAAATATTCCCTCCAAAATGAATTTACATGAACTAAATTAATAGGACTTTGTGAAAATGATCACTTATTTCTAACAGTAAGAATGTTTTTATACTAAAATTTTTAACCAGTTAGCAGTTCTTCCTAAAGAATTAGTTTAAAAGGGCGCCTGGGTGGCTCAGTCGTTAAGCATCTGCCTTCGGCGGGTCATAATCCCAGGGTCCTGGGATCGAGCCCCGCTTCGGGCTCCCTGCTCAGCGGGAAGCCTGCTTCTCCCTTTCCCACTCCCCCGGCTTGTGTTCCCTCTCTCACTGTGTCTCCCTGTCAAATAAATAAAATCTTAAAAAAAAAAAAATTAGTTTAAAAAACCATTAATTCCCATTCATCAAATTATCTAGTATCATTCAGGGTCCTCCACCTGGAATTACCTATTCACTTAAATATATTAATACTCACTTGTATGCTTTAATGCAATTTATTTTTCTTTAAACAGAAGATGGTAGTCTTAGGACTACACAACTGCAGCAGAAGGGAAGAGAGGTGACTGCCTCAAAGGGCCTCTGTCTTCCCTGTGCCTCACTGAATGCCAGGGCCAGAGCAAAAGTGTGGAAATACCCATAAGCAGAGGAGGAGCAACACCATAAATACACTTCATTCAGAAAGGATCTGTGTGAGACAATATCTACTATAGGCATGAAACTAACTAAAAAACCAAGCTTTTAAATACTTAATGACACATAAAGCTTAAAAGAAAGGTGGTATAAGACTGACTACATACAGATTATCTAGGCACTTCATTAGTTATCAGCTCCTATTAGCACCCGTGCTAGAACTAGAGTGAAGCAAACAAGGCACCTAGAGCACAACATTTAAGGGAGCACTCATTCTTAGCTTCTCACAAGTACAGGGTCTGTACCAGACAATGAGTACTCCTTAAATTTTTTGCCCTGGGTTACTGATCGCCTTGCCCCAGTCCTGGCTCTAGTTACTACCACTATTACTATAAACTTGATAATTTATTTAGTATCTTCTACATGCTAGGCACTAAACTTAGTACTCTGGATAACCTCTCATAAATTCTTCCAAACTTCTTACAGTATAGTGGCCCTAATCATCATTTTACATGAGAAACCTGAAAAGACAAAGTAAGGTTCTTCAGAGTCCAAAACCTGTTTTTCTATCAGCTCACCCTCAATTCTCAAGCCAACTTTTTACCACTCCAGGTAAAACATTATTTAGTGATTTGCGATGACAGTTAACCAACCTCTACCCACCACCAAGGGAGGCTCACTAAGAAGAGGGTAAAGAGGAGTTATTACTATCACCAGTAGGGTCAAGGCTTTTTATGCATTTCAATTTTCGTATTAGACCACTACCAAATTCACACTAATAACAAAATGCTGGCTCTTCAAAGGCTAGCAAAAAATGTTCTCTTTTAGATCTTTAGATTAAAAATTTAGAGGGGTGTCTGGGTGGATCAGTTGGTTAAGTGCCTGCCTCTGCTCAGGTCATGATGCCAGGGTCCTGGGATCGAGCCCCGCCTCGGGCTCCCTGCTCAGCGGGGAGTCTGTTTCTCCCTCTGCTGCTCCCCCTGCTTATGCTCTCTCGCTCTCTGTCAAATAAATAAATAAAATCTTTAAAAAAAAATAAAATAAAAATTTAGAATTATAAAAGGGTTTTTTAAAAGGAATTTTAAGGGAATATTTTGCTCCCCTTTCCTCATGATAGTTTAACCATATGTGTAGTCTCCTAGCACAGTCCTTATGCATTCATTTTAAGTGTTCAAGGACTAGTTATTACACAAACATTATTTTCTATAACGTCATATTAACAACCTATACAACAGACACAATGCACTACATCTCAGCAGTTATTTTCATAGATCATTTGATAACAAAGCATAACAAAGTTTGCTGATTTTTCAGTGTACAGCCTTTATGTGCAATTTTAGGAAATATACCAATATATTACAAAGGACTACACAACCGTTTACATTAATAATTACAGGGAAATAACTTGTTGGGAGAGTGTAACTGCCCAACAAATCAAGCTGGAAAAAAATATTATGCTCCTTTTTAAAATTACCAAAAAAAAAGTGACAGTTAAATACTTATCTTTACCCCATTTTATGAACATGTAGTGTCTCTAACAAAGACAGTTTGAGCCCCCCTACTTACACCAGAAAACTCAAGCTGGTAAATGCCCAGAAAAACAACCTGACATATGCATAGTGTTCAACATTTTGTGAAATTCTAAAACTGTCTGTTCATGCTTAATCTGATTTAACCTTCACTTGTGTGGTACTAACTCATTTTATGGACAACTGAGCTCAGCATCAGTTCACACACCAAGTGAGTGATAAATGGCATTCTGCTTCAAGTCCAGAGCTTTAACTCAAAAGTGATGCAGAGAAAATAATATAAACGTTCCTAATGCCAAGGGAACGTCACAAGTGAGAATGAAAAGTAAGGTAATTAAGTTCACTTCCCACCAGCAGCTCGCGCACTAAATCCAGGAACCCGAACTCTTAGGCTAGCTTCAAATGTACTTGGAATTATAATACACGTGAACTTTTATTTCTTTCAGATACTCTATAGAGCAGTTCTGGGCCCCTGCCAGGGAGCCCTTCCGAGGCTATCAGAGGCTTCGGAAGCCTCCCCTTGGGCTGGACGGGGCGCGGGGCTGGAGGCGGACCGCGCACCTGGGTGCGGAGCTCCTGGTTGTTGCTCTCTGCGCTCTGGTACAGCCGCTCCGTGTGATGCAGCAGCTTCTCGATCTCCCGCACCTGCCGCTTGCAGCTCCGCAGCTCGCGTTCCAACTTCTCCACCTTCCGCCTTAGCTGGGCCAGCTCAGGTTCAGGGGAGGGAGGTGACGACGGCGACAACGAAGGCGACGGAGCCTCGGAGGCCATGGGGTCCAGCGCAAGGCAGCCCGTGGGCGCGGAGGGACTGCGCTCACGCTGAGGCGGACGCCGGGGGGACCAAAAGCCGTGAGAGCGCGCGGGCAACGAAAGCTGACCTCAGACCGGCCGGGCCGGACCGGCCCCTGGCCATGACGCCTTGAAACTCCTTGCCTGTAGCCTAAAAGACTGCGGGTAGTGAGCAAGGGGACAGAGGATGCGCCCGGCCCAATCTGCTAGACTTTGAAACGGGGAAACTTTATTGGCAACTACCTTTCCCAGCCACCGAAAGACCTGGAAAAACGTTGGAGAAATGGTCGGCCCAGGGAAGCGGAGGCCAGATACACTCGAAAGCTTCCTGGGCTGAACCGGAAACGAGGGCTCTGGTGGTGGGCGGGACCAAAACCTAAAGGGAAGCTACGGGTACTGGGAAGGGCCTTACGGCACATGCGCAGTCTCTCTACCTTAGCGCTAGGGTACCTGTGCGCTCGAAGAGTCGGTTTGAAAGCCTAGCTCTGGCGATAGTTTGAAGGTCGCTGCCTCTGGCCTTGGATTTTTGCACTTGCCTGTGTCGGAGAGCAAGAATTCCTGTCTCTTCAAAGGTCCTTCTAGCTGCACGAAGAATCAAATTCACATGAGACAGATTAACAAGAGAAAAATCAAATTTAATAGGCACAGGTATAAGGAACTCCACATAGACGTGGAAATTCCCAAAATAGGCACAATGAGGTATATATGTCATTCTGAACTAAAAAGGAGATAGGATGGGGCGCCTGGGTGGCTCAGTCGTTAAGTGTCTGCCTTCGGCTCAGGTCATGATCCCAGAGTCCTGGGATCCCAGGTCCTGCATCGGGCTCCCTGCTCGGCGGGGAGCCTGCTTCTCCCTCTCCCGTTCTCGCCGTCGTCACCTCCCTCCCCTGAGCCTGAGCTGGCCCAGCTGAGGCGGAAGGTGGAGAAGTTGGAACGCGAGCGGCGGAGCTGCAAGCGGCAGGTGCGGGAGATTGTGTTCCTTCTCTCACTGTGTCTCTATCAAATAAATAAAAATCTTTTCAATCAATCAATCAATAAAAATAGGAGTCTGGGACTTAAGATGAAAGGAATGCAATGCACTTTCATAGAGCGATAAGATGGTAATTAGATGTTCGCCCTACCATACAGATGGCTCACTCAGATAAAATTTATCTCTGTTAATAACCCTTACTCTGGAAAAGACCCCAATTTAGATTCTTCTGTGTGGTTAAGGAAGGACAAAAGTTTCTCTTGAGCTCTCAGGGTCTAAAGTGACTTAAGCTCCAGATAATCCACAAGCCAAAGTGGCACATGGGGGCGGGGGGTGGGGGGGGCGAGGGTCCTGTCTTGTGCCCCTTCACCTACTAGCAAAAAGTTTTCACACTTTTTGCACAGAGTTCACTTTACAGGTCTTCATTTTACAACACTTTGCAGATGAGAACACTGAAAAATAATTTGTCAAAGTTTATAGAGAGAATTCTAGACCAGGCTAGAACATCATTTTCTGATGCTCTGCTTTTATTTACCATTTCTGCTGATTTCGTGAGTTTAGGCCCCCAGGAAATGAAAGTAGATTCATTAGGTCTGAGTTGCAGAGAGGAGCATCCCTGGTGGGAAAATAAGCAGCTAGATTCTGTTAAAGTAGGAGAGAAAAATGCTCTGGTTCAGCGGATTTCTTTGGTGTAACAACTGTCTGGAACTGGCATTTGTTCACCGGCCTTTAAACTGATGAGGGCCTCCTGAAACATCTTTCCTTCACCAAGGTCGATTAGAATTATAGCCTGAGCTCAAAATGCTGTGCCTGAGACCTATGGAGGTCAGCGCCTATGTGTTGCCAGTCCTTTCCCAGGGTCCAGCACTGTGCCTGTCACAGAGCAGGTATCCTTAAATGTTTGCTGAACACAGCCAAACAAAAGAATCATGTTTGGTGTCCCAGTTCAGTGTGCTTTTTGTCACTTGCCCACATCTTCAGTCACAGGCAGTGAGTCCTGCAGTGGGGAATCTCCCTTTTTTCAGTCATGCACACATACTTTAGCCCCTAAGAGTCCTTCCACAAGGCACCCGATGTCAAGGCAACAGTGATCTAGCCATGAAAGGATGTTTAGTGAGAAGACACAGCATGTCATCCCTGATGTAAAACAGAGATGTGCTGAAAAAAAAAAATTCGGATTTGCCTTAATGCATTATGGCTCTAGTCAAGAATTTATCAAAACCGTTTAAAATAAAAACTATATTTTCCACTTTCTCCACCTTTGGGGGATAAGAAATCCCATGAATACCACCTATAAGGTAACTTTAAGATAGAGTGTACTTCCTAGGTCCTGTTTTTACAGATGAGAAATTTCAAGTTTTAACCTTTAATTTTGCAAGTGAATAAATACTTATTAGTTACTACTTGAAGCAGTGTTTCTTTGGCTTGTCTTAAAGGTAATCCATCTAAGCCTAAATTCTGGCCTCATCATGCTATTAGTCTATAACCTCTGTTAGTCTGGAAGAAAAGAGTGACTTTTTTTTTTTTTTTTTAAGAAAAAAGAGAAAGCCTTGTGTATCAGGAATTGCATTAAGATTAGAAACAGCAGTTAGTCTACAGTGGCTTATTAAACAAATTAGGAGGTTATTCTATTAAAGAAGTCCAGAGCTGGTTTAGTGGCTTCACCAGGTCTTCAGGACACAGGCTCCATCTGTCTCTGCTCTGCTAGCCTCAGAGCATTAGTTCCAGCCTTCAGGTCAATTCACTGTACAAGATAGCATCGGACAAGAAGACTTACCCATGGCTGGCTCAGTAGAGCATATGACTCTTGATACTGGGGTTGCAAGTTTAAGCCCCACGTCGGGTTTAGAGAATAATTAAAAATAAAATCTTAAAAAAAGAAAAAGACTTTTCCAAAGCCCCATTCAATGAGTTCCGTTTATATCTCAATACCCACCCTTGCTACAAGTGTGGCTAGGAATTGTGTGTGTGTGTGTGTCTTTCTAAGCTGGACACATTATTCCCAATAATGAGGGGTTCTATAAATATGGAAGAGAGGGGGAAGTGCATGGGGTGAGTAGGTGAACAGCAGTTTTTACCAGAGGTAGTTTTCAGATCAAAAGTGACTTACTGTAGTGGGCAGGGCCAGTGCCCTACAGATGCAAATTAGCTGACACTCTTCACAATTTGATTTTGATTCTGTAATATTTTTTTCTTAGTTATTATTTTGTACCTCAGATTGTAGTCACAGTTCTTAGTTCACAACATATTATCAACATTGGCCCATGAATGGCTCCTCTATCTTTTTGTTTTGGTTTGGTTTTAGTGTCACTCTATATCCCCAGTCCCCAGTCTCATTACCTCCTTTCTGCCAATGGGCACCCACTCTTACATGTCTGCTATATGTCCGTAAATATAAATTTATCCTTACATGTTTTGTATCTGTATTCATTTTACATAAATAGTATTTGGGTTTTTTAAAGATTTTATTTTATTTGACAGAGAGAGAAAGAGCGAGCACAAGCAGGGGGAGCAACAAGCAGAGGGAGAAGTACAAGCAGGCTCGCCACTGAGCAGGGAGCCTGATGTGGGACTCGATCCCAGGACCCTGGGATCATGACCCGAGCCAAAGGCAGATGCTTAACCAACTGAGCCACCCAGGTGCCCTTAGTGTTTGGTTTTAAATCTTAAACTGTTTCTTATTTTTTCCATGGTAAAAAGATGTTTTTAAAATTCGTATGTATTGCCATATATACACTAAGTGCTGTATAGTATTCCAAAGTGTAAGTATACCACATTTAATTTATCCATTAGTTGTCAACATCTAAGTTATCTCCAACTGAGATATAAATTATTCTCCATTGATACCACAATGAAAACCCTTATTCATTCCACTTTATTGGCCTGTGCATTCATTTCTTTGGAATATGTTGCAAGGCATGTGATCTCTGGTTTCTAGAGCAAACATTTAATTTCACTCTATTCCACTAGGCTGCTTTCCAGAATGGCTGTATGTTCCCTTTACTAAAGAGGCAAAATCTCCCTTCCACCTTTGAACCTGGGTTTGGCCATGTGATTTGCTTTGGCCAGTTGAATGAGGTGATTTCCTGAACAGTGGACCAGTTCTAATCCTACATCCCAAGAGGCCCCAGTATTTCTGCTTGCTTTCTTGGATTTCTTCTATTGCCAGAAGAACATGCTCAGGTGTGTCTGTTGGTCTTAAATGGGGGATAAATGACCATTGGAACAGATCTGTTCCAGCTGAGATAATCCAGCTAAGCCAGCCTACAGTAGAGGTCCCAGGAAACCCTCAGACTGTTGGCAATCCCAGTGGAGATCAGCCGGCTACCAACTCACCCCAGGCTTGGGAGAAATAATAAATGATGTTTATTGGAAGTGTGGGGGTATTTTGTATGTAGCAATAACTGATACTCAACCTGATCTAGAGCCACTCCAGGATCCTGTGAGTTTCAGCAGGCCAAGTACCAGGGATATTCCCATATTCTGCAACAGAGGAATATTGTCAATTAAATAAAACCTGATTTATATTCAGTTTCTTTCAGAATGTCTTCAATTCTATATTTAATGAACATTCACCTGTCATAATTTATGTTGCATTCAATGGGTAGCCAACACTCTCCTATCTGACCCTACTGTTTGATGTCACACAAGAATATCTGGGGAGCCATAGCATTTCAATAGTTCTGATTTATTGCTCCATATTACTTTTTTTTTTAATTTTTTATTGTTATGCTAATCACCATACATTACATCATTAGTTTTTGATGTAGTGTTCCATGATTCACTGTTTGTGCATAACACCCAGTGCTCCATGCAGAACGTGCCCTCTTTAATACCCATCACCAGGCTAACCCATCCTCTCACCCCCCTCCCCTCTAGAACCCTCAGTTTGTTTTTCAGAGCCCATCGTCTCTCATGGTTTGTCTCTCCCTCTGATTCCCCCCCTTCATTCTTACCCTCCTGCTATCTTCTTTTTTTTTTTCTTAACATATATTGCATTATTTGTTTCAGAGGTACAGATCTGTGATTCAACAGTCTTGCACAATTCACAGCACTCACCATAGCACATACCCTCCCCAGTGTCTATCACCCAGTCACCCCATCCCTCCCACCCCACCCCCCACTCCAACAACACTCAGTTTGTTTCCTGCAATTAAGAATTCCTCATATCAGTGAGATCATATGATACATGTCTTTCTCTGTTTGACTTATTTCACTCAACATAATACCCTCCAGTTCCATCCACGTCGTTGCAAATGGCAAGATCTCATTCCTTTTGATGGCTGCATAATATTCCATTGAATATATATACCACATCTTCTTTATCCATTCATCTGTCGATGGACATCTTGGCTCTTTTCATAGTTTGGCTATTGTGGACATTG